CTTCGGCTGCCCTGCTTCGCGGGTCGCGGGGCGGGGTCGCGCGCGGGGAGCGTCTCCTCGGGCCTCCGCGTCGGGGCGGCGTGGCGGGGTGGACGCGGAGGCGCTGCAGAGGCGCCGCTCCGCGCTCTTTTCGGGAGGCGGCCGCGCGAGCGAGTCTGCGCCCTCCGCCGCGTCGGGGAAGGGCCGGGCCGCCCGCCCAGCCGCTCGGGCGGGGGCGCGGCGGCGGTCGAACTTGCGGCGCCGCACCCGCCACGCCGGGAGGGGGGGAGCGGGCGGCGCGGGAGGAGGAAGAGGAGGTCCGTTTTCGCGGCGCGGACGGCGGGGAGCCCCTCGACGTGGCGGCGAACCTCAGCCCCCTCCTGCGTGTTGTGTTGGATCTCTCCAACGCGGTGCCCACCGGCCGTTTGCGTGCGCTTTACGGCTGCGACGACATCTGGGACGTTGTGGCCTCGGTGGGCGAGGCGGCGCCGAAAGCGGTTCCGTCCGACCAGCCTTTGCCGCTCTCGCCCGGGGTGGCGCCGGCGGGTTCTTTTCGGTCTTTGACAGTTCTATGCATTCGCCAAAACTCTCTGGAGTCACTGAAAATTTTGCCGCCGTCGCTTCTGCGCCTTGATGTGAGTGATAACGAGTTGCGCGACCTGACGGGTGTGGAGCAGTGCAGAATGCTTACCCTGCTCAATGCACGGAGAAATCGTTTGCGTACCATGCTTGGGTTGGAACAAAACCCTGCGTTATCTCACCTTTTCCTCGGTCACAACAACATCATCTTCGTCGAAGGTATTGCGCATCTTCTTCTCCTGGAGACGCTTGATTTGGCGCAGAATAGACTTAAAACACAGGCCTCTATCCGCGCGTTGTCTCTCACAAAAGGACTGCGGCACTTGATGCTGCGTGGTAACCCCGTGGTGGAACGCATACAGCGTAGTTACCGTCCTTTACTGCGCAATCTTTGTCCATCGTTGCTCTCTATCGATGGGGAACGTCTTACCTTCTCACGATTGGCTGCAAAGGCGCAACGTGAGGGGAATCGCCTTCGTCTACCCTATGCCGCTGGCGATAGTGTCGGTGGTGTAAACATTTCCATAACTTCGGCAGATGATGGGGAAGCTGCAGAGGTGTCCCAATGTGCCAGCTACATGCATCTGCTAACGCGTGGTGCTGCGGTTGTAGCAGGTTCGGGCTATGTTGACGCCGAACGAGCTGCACGCACGGCAAAGGCGTTGAAGGCCCAAGCAGCAGCTGGGGCTAGAAAGGGGAGACAACAAAGTCGCCCCGCATACCGAGCGGGCGGGGAGCCTCTTCGACAGGAGCTTTTAAAGCATCTTGCGCAGGAGTCAAGAAAGTATCTGGAATCCTTGCTTGAGGAGCGATTGTCAAGCATGCAGGTGTCACAGGTCGCAGACTCTCTAACTGCCGTCGTGGAACGCGGGGGTGGCGACCATGCACAGGAGAGCCTTCTACATGACACATCTGCGCAACACGAGATTGCCGGGTGGGAAGGCGACCAGCCTTGTGTCAGTGGTGGCCGTAATCGCCAGGCTCCAGAAGAGGCCCAAGACGGCATTCCTGTCAACCTCTCTAGTGAAGGAAGAGACGAGAAGCATCGGGCGTTTTCCCGTGGCAATCAAGTGCCAGGAGTGCACCGCGATGCGACGCTGGATCACGGAGACTGGCTGCGCCTCCGTGGGCGTCAAGGCACCCGGCATGCTCCGTTTGGAGATACACCTCACCGGGCTCTGCCGGGCCCCAACGCTCCGGAGACGCCTGACACGCCTGATAAGAGATGCGTGGAGAGCGTGGTACTTGTCTCGCCTATTCGTAAGGATGAGGAAGCATGCCACGCTGCCTCGGTGAATGCCATGGAAATCCTACGCGATGTAGACATGCTGGATCCTCGTTTCTCTGCCGATGGTAACGTCGCCACTGAGCCAGGGGCCATCCCCCGCTTTGTGCCAAGTCATTTGCGGCGACCGATGCTCTTGTCTCCGTCTACGGATTCCTCACCAATTAAGGCGCACAGGGTTTACTCGGCTCCCAAGTCTCGGAAAGGTAGTAAACCCTTTACTGCGACCTCCCCAGCTCAGTCACGTAGCATCAAGGTGGCGAATGAGACAATTATTCTCTCCCCTCCGCCGCCCTTGACGACTCCGTGTTCCCTGCATCCCAAGGCAAGGGGTTCTGTCGTGAAGAAATGGGTCGTTGAGCTCTGCCAAGACACCGATGCTGTTCAGGAGGCATTGCAAACCCTTGTTTCCCTTTTAGACTCGCAGGGGTGGAGCAATCCTGCAATTGCTGGTAGGCCTTCTCCTGTTCCTGCGCAGTTATTGGCGGAGCGAAAGCGATGTGTTGAAATTCTTACCGAAAGTGGAATGCTCTTGGACATAGAGGTCCCTCTAGACGTCGTGGAGCAGTACTGCCTCACCCCCGACGAGTTGAGATACAGTAGTGATGACGAATGCAGCGAGGAAGGTGACTCTGCGGTGGACTCACCTGTCACGGCCGAGGGTTGCAACACCTGTCGGGAAAAACGTGAGATTTTGCGCTGCATTCGCCTGATTGGAGACGGAAAGACATGTCTTCGGTACCTGGTTCTTCTCATCGAGGAGGGGAGGGAGGAGGAGCTACAGCGCTACCTGAGCGAGCTTAGGCTACTCATACCAATGTGAGTAGGGCGGGTGAATGGGGAAGGTGCGAACGCTTCAAAAGTTTTCTCAGTGAGAGAGTGCGTGTGAAACTGAAAAGAAAATAGAAAAGGGCATCATATGAAAGAGCATATATATGAGGAAATAATCAAAAATACCTAAAACAGAGGCCAAGCACATATATATATATATAGAGAGAGAGGAGGGAGACGAAAAGGAAAAGAAGAGGGTGCCATGTGTTGCTTCTTCGCGCAGTGACGCTCCAATGAGGGTCAGTGTAACGTCGACGAGGGGGAAACATTCATGCTGGGGCCTTTGCTATAGACATTCCTCGGCCCCGGACAGTTGGGGACGCGGTTTTGCCACTAGTGACTTTGGATTTTGTTGCTGTTTTACGTACGCCTTTTATTGAAATACCTGCATTCATATGCTTTTTTACTGGGTTTACTGTCGTCTTTTTTCCTTCCCATTATTTTTTTATTATTTTTTTTTTCTGCATTATCCTTTCATTTCTTCGGCGCTTTGGTCCCGCCCCGCTGCGGACCGTGAGGCACACCGTTGCTGGTTTTGTTTGGGGGCGGGCGTGGTCGGTCGTGTCGCTAGTTAGCCACCGCCGTGGGGGACTTCCTAACGGATGCGTATGCCGTCGCCCCAGTCGCGAGCATCCGTCGCTGGCGCCGGCGATGCCGCACGAAGCAGCGCGCAGCTGGAGGTCCGGGATGAGGTCACTGATTTCGCGGCCCAAATGCACGGCCCTCCGCAGATGGAGAAGCTACTCAACTCTCTGGCAGGTGTTCTCGTTGAAGTCACACGAAGCGGCGCGGCGGAGGAGGCCGCTCGAAAAGGTGTTTCTGTCTCGCCCGAGGGGAACGGTGAGGCGGACGTTGCGTCCGCCACCTTTGGCGCGGCACCCTCTCCTGAGAATGATCCAATTGTCCAGAAAGCCTACCTCAACGACTTGTGCCTGTATTTAACTTCCGGAGCGCCTTCTACAGAGGCGGACCAAACCGCCGGAGTCTCCCCGCTGATTCCGTTGCCTCTTCCCAAAAGTGGGCGCACTCAGCATGCCCGGGAACTTTTCATGCGTCTCGCTAAGAGTCATTACTGGCGCCACACGCTGCTCATCCCACTACTGCGCCGTTGGTGGCAGGAGGGGCCTCACTCTCTCTTTAGTGTGCTTCTTCTTCAAAGTGTCGCCGATGCAATTGGGGAGGAGTTGTTCTCGAACACCTCGTGTAAGATGGAGGAGGCCATGGTGCATACGCCACGAGTAACGCGTAAAAGTGAGGAAGTTGCCAATAATGAGCGGCCTCCTCGCTCAGAAGCCATGCAAGGCTTGGAAGAATTGCTAAAGGCGACTGGCTCCTTTCGAGGGTTGTGCCTTGGTCTTGAGGCCATCACTCGCAGCCATGTGAATGCTTTACAAGCGCGCGTGACAAGACTTCTTATTGGGTATACCTGCAGCGCTGAGAAGGATACAACAACTGGGCGCGCTCGGATCATGATAGAGCGCCTCGTTAACGCTTCCACGCAATCTCTGTGGAGGGATGTGTTTGCTTTTCTTTCGAGGACCATGGGTGATGTGGAGTTGGCATTCCGTGAATCTGTTTGGATCTTTTTAATGGCTCTGCTTTCAGGTTACACAGCTGCCCTTATCCTGCTTGAAAACGATTCCTGTGTTACTCAACACAACCCTGTCGTGTTGCAGGCTCAACGTATGTTTATTGAGCGGATGCAAGAGCATTTGCGCGGGTATATCACGGTCCGTCTCTCCTCAGACAATGTGGCCACTGATAGCTCACCTGTGACGGTGCACAATGTCGTGTGTCGACAGTCCTTCTTTTGGCGGGCTTCACTGGAAGTGGAACTGGCAATGGAGTCGTTGCCGTCTGCTTTGAGAACAAATTCGCTCGTGTTGCCGTGGGCGCGTAGGTTGGTGGCCACCGCGTGGGGCAATGCGTTTCGTCTCGTTCAGTCACTTGTGCGTGCGCAGGAGGCCACGGAGGAGGTTCCGGACACCGTTGAGAGCACCGATTCAATGCTTGCTGTGATTCGACAGCGGCAGCGTCAACTGTCGGAGGAGCATTTGGAACGACTCGCGTCGGAGCACTTGAGAGCCTTTGCCGGCACCAAGCATCCACGCCCGGCAGAGGCGGATGTTGCTGACGAAACGGGCGGTGGATCAGCAGTTGCAGAGGAAGTGGGGACCTCGACGTTGTCTTGGTCATCGTACGCCACCGAATACTTCTTGCGAACATATCATCCGAGTTGTTTCACAGTTCTTTCCCTCGTCGAACAGGACACCCTTGTTGCTCTGCTGCGTCAATTGCACACTGTTGTAGTCAATGGGGAACGTGAGGCAGTGCGGCTCTCTTTGGCGGCCTTCCTCGCCTCGATTGGCAGCAACGAGGCGAATGTCCAGAAGCCAATGTTGCACTGGCACTTAAGGCATGTGCATGGTAAAATTTTGCAGGCACTGGGAGAGGATGACTTACTACTCATGTGTTTGTTGCATGCCGTATTTGTCTTTTATGAGCGTATCGGGAAGACAAATCTTAACGTCTGCGGTGTTCTTCGGGAGACGCTGCTACCTATACTGGCAATGTTGTGCTCCCAGCGCCACAGCGCTTCTGACGACCACGAGGATGAGGAGCCGTATTACGAGAGCCAGCAGTGTATGGTGACGCTTCTTGCATCCGGTTTTCTTGCGCTACCGTGGGACCTGCGTGGGATTCAGGTGCGTCTGCTTCTACACAACAGTATTGGGGCAAGGCTGCAGGAAGCCTTTTCGGCCGAAGAGGGCCTCACAGAGGTGGATCACCTGTTTGTAAGCTACGCGGATGGTACGCACACACCCGAGGATTTGGCAGCCGCGCTGTGTGACGACCTCGCGCATGATCCGGTGCTGCAGCTGCTGGCGTCTGGGGGAGAAGCGACGGCGATAGCGATGGATGCCATGGATGACTTATTGGACTCCGAGACGCCTGTCCATTTTCCTGCACCCTGCGGCGCGTTGTTGCTAATGTCCATTTTTCGCACCTTGTCGCTCAACTTTTTGCGGCTTCGCGCCGAGTGGGAGCAGCAGAATCAACATGCGAGGGAGGGCGCTATGGACTACTTGGGTCGCGAGGCTACATTCTGCACCATAAGAGATCTTGGGGTCTTCCGCGTTCTCATTCAGCTGGCGCACCGCATGGTGTTAGGCTTTCAGTTGCAACCGGTGGGTCTACTGCGACTGTGGCTCTCATACATGAACCATCTTTTTACTCACATCGTGCCTCCTTTGACCGAGGACGATGAAATCTCGCTCATGATGCCGCACGCTAACGGTGGGTCCTCGTCTCCTACGGAGGGCGGGCCACCGCGGCGGGCCTACAAACGCTCGCCCAATGAGACCTCACAGGGAGAGCTACGCGCGATACTGGGTGAGCTGCTTGCCGACCTCGCGTTGATGTCGCTTGTAGACAGTGAGGCGGTCATGCAGTGCCCTGCAGCTGTGCCGCATCGCCCCGGTGGCGCAAAATGGCTACAAAAGCAAACCCAGCGATCGCAGGAGCTTCTCATAGTGCAGCGCGTGTTGCCTGTTCTTGTGCTGGAGGAGTTGTGTTTCGCGCTACGAGTTCCCATTGAGGATCTGGACGCGAAAGGCGCGGATCCTGCATTTGCGCGCCACGTGGGGAAAATGGTTGAACAATCTTTCTTGGGTGTACTTGGTGTGTTTGTCTTCTGCCGACGCGTGGAGCTTTTCTTGGTGCCGGGGAGCCTTGTTGACAGGCGCGCCGCGGTGTTGCTGCAAACTCTCTGGTCAGCGGTGGAGGCGGGCTCCATGGTGATGGCGCCCACGTGATGTCCGCTTATATATATCTCTCTCTTTCTCTGTCCTTGTTAATCTCGACAGCAGCAAGCAGAGACAATAACAGCCCCTTTTAGGCGCCGCTGCTGCTCTCCCCTTCTTTCTCCGTAGAGAGAGGTGCTGTGGACAAATGCGGTAGCTGTGGTGGGAAGAACTGCTTCGCGGCATCGGCGCCACAACAAAATCGGGAAAGAGGGGTAAAAGCGAAGAAAAAAGAAGGGTGAGAGAGTGCGAAAAATCTCTGGGTGGGTGAAGCGTGAGCTCATTGTTTGACTTCCTATATTTCTTGCTTTGGTACTCTTCCATAGGCTCGTGCCTTTTTTTTTTTTCTCCTCTCGATTTTGTTCTTTCTGCTGGCTGGCACTGCTGTGAAAGCAGTTTGGCGCGGCCCGATGAAGCCAAGCCGTGCACAACTGGGGCGCCTTTTTAGTCCGTCAGTTATTGCGAGGAACCACCGCTTCCCCCCGCACCTGCGGCAGGCAGCTTATCTTGTGCCTGCCGTGCCCGGTAGCGCGTGCCGCGCGGAGGATGCGAGGCGGTTGTTTGGTCGCTGCTGCAAAGAACTCTCTGAGGGAGCGGACGAACGGCACGGCGCGGACAGCAACTGTGCGGAGTCCGTGTTTGACGAAAGTGTGCACTCTCTGCAGCGCCTTGGTTTGGTGTCGTTTGCACACGACGAACCCGCTTCGGGGGGAGAAGCAGAGGTGCGAAGGCTTTGCCGTGAGCCCGTGATCACGGTCAGGTTGCATTCCATCTTTGTGACCTCTTCACAGAGTACTGAGAGTGAGAAGGAGGCGCTTTTTCAGATGTTGCATGGCGTCCTTATCCCCCTGATTTTCTCTCGCCTCGCCGCTTCTTCGGCGGCTACTCCATCAAGGCGGAGTCAGCGTGCGGTGGAGGAAGTTTCGGCGGAGTCGTGTTTTCATTTGCTGCAGCAATCGAGAGGAACGTGTTCTAGCGTGAATGGAACCACGTGTCGTTTTATGAGCGATTTAGTGGGTGAGGCCCTGCTCCTTGGGGTTCGTGAGCAGCTGCTGTTCCCCTGCGGAGGTGGCCTCTTCCGACTGCATCACGGGCTGATGCAGCAGCCTTCGCCGTGTTTGCTGACGCTGCGGTGGTGGTGGCTGCGGAGAGTAGATGCGTTTCTGCGCCACGCCGTGAAACCCCGTGCGACGGGCGAGAATGTGCCGCTTGAGGCCGAGATCGACGCGGCGCAGGAGCGGGTGCGGTATTGGATCAAGAAACAAGACACATCCCTCCCACAGTTTCTTCTTCGCGCCGCCATGGACGAAGCCATGGCGTTGGTGGCGGACGCCGTGCGATGTTGGCGGCCCCGCTCTTCTGTGCAGGGGCAGCCGACGCCCTCTCTGCCCACCTGGCGACTGCAGCTGTTGGATGAGGCAAAAGCCGCGCTTGCGTTAGAGACGCTGCAGTCCATTCGGTCGTTACTCGTTCGGCGACCCGCAGGTATTTCCTTAAGCGAGTTGTCCACGCTTATCTCGTGGTCGACGCTGTCGAGCCTCCTTCAAAAGAAAAGCCTCTTGAAGACATTGACGTCGTTTCCCTCTCATTTTGTCGTGCACAGTGTCCAAGGTGTGGCGGTGGCGCAGCTTCAACTCGGTTCAACGGCAACGAGCGCCATCAACGCCGCGGAGGTGGCTGCGTGGGTATTGGGCAGCAGAAATGAGTCTGTCACCACCGCGACCACTTTTCTTCAGGAGGTAGATCTTGTCATACGAGCAGTGGTGTTTCTGCGGAAGCGACACCTGCTTGAGAGGCGAGTCACGTACGAGGACTTACGTGCAGTTCTTGTACCCGCAAAGGACGCCGACGCCGCCGAGGCCTTCTTGGATGTCCTGCGCCGCTACGATGTTGTGTCCGGCGTTGGCGCTTCTGGGATTCCCTCGTGGTCCTCCGTGCAGCAGCAGAGGGTTTGCTTGTCACAGCGAGAGTCCGCTGCGCTGAACGCGATTGAAACCGCTCGCAAGCGAAAAGGCAGCAACTATCAGCTTTATTCGGAGGCGATTAAACCGTTTCTTTTTCAGTGCAATGCGGAGGTGACTGCTGCTGGAATTGCTGACGCGTCCATGCCTATTTTACATTTGCAACGTTGGCTACAATCCGAGCGTCTCTCTTTAAATCAGGCAGACCTCGTTAAGGTGCTGCGCGAGGTTTCACTTCCATTTGCAGTGGATGAGAAGGCGCAATGCATTCGTTTCAGTGGTGGAAAAGTGTCGGGACTCTCGCCAGCTCTCGTGCCGCCGCCTCGAGAATCTTCAAAAACCTCAACGTTGCCTTCACTAACGCCTCCGCCGCCTCCGCCGCCGCCGCCGCCGCCGTCGCCGCCTTCAGCGTCCGTGGTTGCGGCTCAGAAGTTAACATTTGATTCACAGTTGGCGCGTGTATTAAACGGGCAACAGCCGGATGCTCTGCTACGCTTTGCGGAGGCCACGATTCATGCGGTCTTTGCGCTCCTTTTGCCGCTGGTTTCTGCTCCGTCTGGGATGCGGCTACAGACGCTGCTTCGCCGCGTCCGCTGGGGGTCCGTGGCCGCAACACTTGGCGTCCTCCCGTCTTTTCTAGAGGCGTTTGAAGGCCTGTTTTTCGACGTCTTCGTCGACAGCAGCGGACAAGTGGAGGGCACAGTGGTGGCGGCGTATCGCGGCCATGTGGGGTCTTGGCTTCTGTACGCGCGCCTGATTTCACGCCTTTTCCCTTCGGGCGTGGACATTCCACTGCGAATTATTGCTGAGGGACTATCGTGGGGTGTGTGGTTTGCCCCCCGCTTTGGCGATCTTCCCACGCTGCTGCGGCGTGTGGGGCGCTCCTGTCGAGGCGGGTACCTGCTTGCGCAGAGGGAGAGGGAGACGGCTGCTGGGCCGCCTGCGAAGGATGATGCGGTACTGTGGGAACTCTTGGAAAACGTGAGAAGGCGGGAGGGCGATAAACAGCAACAGCAACGACAAGAAAACAATGTCGTGGCTGAAGCTCAGAAATACGTGTTACTTCACCCAACGGATTTCTGTCAATACCTGTCTGGCACGAATGAGGCGGATGACAAGGGCGACGGTGGCTGGATGCAACTTGCAGAAGTGGCTGTCCGACGTTTTCCATTGTTCTTTCAATGGTCTAGTGCCGCAGCAGATTCGACGCCGCTTCTGCGTGTTGCATTGGCGTGCGCCCCTGTACCTAATGGAGTTGTGGAATTGGTGGAAGGCTACGTTTGTCCGCTGCTGCGGCAGCGCCCCGGGCCTGGTATCAGCGTGGCGGAGCTTGATGTCCGCCTTGGCTGGTCCCGCGGTAACTTTGACACACATCCTGCCGGCCTAGCCGCTCTTGGCGCTGCCGCCAGTGGCACGTCACTGTACGGTGTTATTAAACGGTACGTGGAGGTCGAACACCCGCCGCGGCTTCTGCTGCTGCAGGAGGCCACCCAGGCAACCGCGCATGACGCCGCGAGGGTGCGACCCAATGCTGCCATCTATCAAAGTCCGGAGGACATGCTGCTGGAGGTGAATGGCCTGGAATACGCGGCTAGTGAGAGGGACACGCTGCTGCGTCCCTCCGGCAAGCCCATCTCTCTGTTTGAGCTGTTGGCCGAGGAGCAGGAGCTGCAGGGAGGTGAAGTGGGCCGCACTCTACCTCGAACAGAAGAGTGGGGTGTCTCGCTCTTGTGTGATGGAAAAACAGTTGCCGAGTGGGAAAAGGAGTTAACAGATGGCAGTGGCGACGTTCTGGTCTGGTGTGAGTCCTGAGGTGAACACACCGGGAGGGGCTCCTCATGCCTTCTCAGCGACAAGTAGCGGGGTGTCGGTGAGAAAAGAGAGAGAACGTGAAAAGGGGGAAGCATATGGTGGAAAGTGCTTCCTTTATTCTTTGCTGCTGTGCAATTGAGCATTTCTACTGTTCTCCTTCGATTTGCGGGTCTTTTCGTCCTTCTTCTGTTGATTTTCTTTTTTGCTTTGTCGTTGGCGGCGCTACTTGAGGGTCGTGGACGCCAAGAGGGGGGCTGAGGGGGCAACGGGCGACCAACAGAGAGAGTGTGTCTGCGTGTGTGTGTGGGGAACTTAGAGAGATAGAGGAGGAGGAGGGGGGGGGACTGGGAAGGAAGATGTCGGCCGTGAGAAGAAACAGCGACTCCGTGGCGAAAACGCCCACAGCGCCCGCGTCAGTGACCCTCTACAACACCGCAGTGCGCTCGTCCCTGAACCCGCGCCCGGTGATGCTGCGTGTCCCTCTGCGCACACCGAGCCGTCACGAGGCGCGGGACGGAGATGCGGACGATGATGCAAGCTTTTTGCACGCGGCTGAGCCGCAAACTGGTCGTGCCCTTACAATGGACAGGAGTAGCGGCAAGAAGACACTGCGAAGCGGGGACGGGCGCGAGGGCGCCAGCTTGAACTTTGACCGCACGAGCCCTTCGTTGATGTCGCCGGCACCGCTGCCGCTGTGGCCGCCTGCGTCAGAGGCGAGTGCCGCGCCAGTCCCAGCTGGATGCCCCGCCAGGGCGCCGTCCTCACCACCGGCCGCTCCCCGTCGCAGCACTAGCGCCGTGTTGGTCTCGCCCCGACCATCCCCGCCGAGCAAGGGCAGCGTGGCGGCGGAGCGGCCGGCTGGGCACGTGTCTCCTTTTGCCAAAGTCCTTCCTGCTGCCTCGAAAGTGCGACGGAGAACTGGCGGTAAAGGAGGCTCTGCGGAGGTGCGGAATTTTCTCCAAGCCGTCCCTCCGCGCCCCCGGATAACAACTCCACTACAACATCTCCTAGTTTATAACAATGAGGCGCAGCGGCAGAGTGAGGGGTCTGCCGTCGGTAATGCAGACCTTGCGCGGCAAGGGAGTAGGACGCCCTCGTGCAGTGTGGCCGCGTCTGCGTCGTCGCTGGCGGATGAGGCGCAACTACGCTCAACCTTCACTGGAGGAGGAGGGGGAGACCTGCGTTCACAGCTGGATCCCTGCCGCACGTCCACGACGTCGCTCCAGTTTTCTCTACCTCGGGATGAGAAGAGCAGCTCCTCCACCGACTCTACGCTTGCCGCGCAGATTCCTTTCCGTAACACCCGGCGACGCCGCCAGGGAGGCCGGATGTCTCCCTTTTCGAACCGGAGGGTTGTCTTCTCCCTGGCGCTGGAAAACGAGGACAGCAGCACCTCCGACGAAGATATTCGAAACGGTATTGGCAAGGCAACCCCGCGGCCGGCGCTGCGCCCCTATTCTGTGCCCGTTTGTAGAACGGCGCGGGCTACATGTGACCCTGCGGATAACGCGCGGGCGTCTCCTACCTTGCACACCTCTACCGCTGAGCCTGTGCGTCGGCCTCGGTCCGCAACTCCTGCCAAGGCTGAGATCATGAGGGCGTATCATGCGCTGCAACTACAGAAGGAAACGCTGGTGCTGATGGATTACGAGGAGAAGGAGCGTCGTGAAATAACTACCGCCTACGTGCACGCCACACGGGGGATACTTGTAAACCACACCTTCCAACGCTCCTTGCTCCTCACCCGGGAGGAGGAGACGTTGCCTTCACACTCACCTCCTTGTAAAGGGGCGTCCTCATCTTTAGAGTCGGAAACAAAGAAGAGAAAAGCCCTGCTTAAAAAGGAAGGAAATACGACGTCGACGACGACGACGACGACGAAGGCGGCGGGCTCAAAACGGGCCGCGTCACCGCAGCAATCCTTTATCGCACGCACGCCCGGTCTCCGTCCAGTGCAGTCAACCCAGCACCGCTGTGTGGCCGTTGCCGATGACAAAAGTGCCCGGGAGAATTTGGCGCCTTCTTCTTTTCAGGGCAGCTCTCATGCGCGACAGATTGAGCGACGCGACAAGGGGCTAACTTCCACGGAATCTGCAGTTGGTACACGTCACATCGTCTGCCCCAGCATTTCTTCTGGGACTGAATCTACTCTTCTGCTAGAAGTTAGTGAAAATATGAGTCAAATTCCCTATGCCATGCGCCTTGTTGAGGGACGACTTCTACGTTTCTTCTCAGCAGAGCCCAGCGCTAGGCAATGTGTAGTAGAGGAGGAGGCCCAAGCGTTTCATTTTCTCCTACGCTATCATCGCCTTTGTGAGAACGCATTTCAACCCTCTGTCATATATTTACAGGAGGCATGTCAGTGGCAAAGCGTCTTGACAGAGGCAAAGAATGACTTTTATCGCCTTCAGGAAGCTCGACTTGATTGGGAGCTTCAGCAGAGTATTGAGTTTGCCCGTGCCTGTGCGCAAAACGTGGCTGCGCTGGTAGAAGCGGAAAACCACATCCGCTGCATGCGTATTCAAGAGTCCGAGGACGAAGAATACCGTCAGTTGGTACGTATTTTCCGTTCGGGGTTGGCAGCACTTGTAGAGCTGGAGATGTGCAATCAGCGACGCCAGCTGCGGGAACGCGAGGAAAAGATGGAAACTGTTGTCGTTCAGGAGATGCGGGAGCGGGAGGAGGTGTGGACGGCGGAGCTCCGGCGGAGAGGCACGCTCTACGGCAGGTTTGAGGCTGAATCCCATATTCGTGCATCGTGTCTCTGGGATGCTCCACCCCCCGCCCACGGGAGTAGAGAAGGCGCGGCGGTGGATGCGTCGATTGAGTTGAGCGCCATTGCGGGAGTCCACGATGACGACCACTCGTGTGCCAGCCACGCGGAGGCCCTTTCTGCAGCGCCCCTGGCGGGGGCGACGTCGACTGCAAAGACACCTTCAACCATACAATCTGTCAACAGCATCGCGGCCCAGCTTCTTGCTCTTTCCGCTGCCGAATATGACGCAACCCGAGAAGCTACTTGGTCGCGGGGCGCGAAACAGGTTGTGCATGCTGAACGCGAGTTCTTTGAGTGGAACCCGACCTCAAACACTCTCCCCACCACGACGAACAATACAACGACAGGGACCACCACACTTGTTGTGGGTGGTGACTTGCATTCGGGGCATAACACCTCAGCTGGTGCTCAGGGGAAGCGGCAGCGGCCATCCTCGCCGCAGCTGTGTGGAATTCCCTGCACCAGCACGACTGCTTGCTCAGGTTTCTCTTCTCAGCATGACGCCTCCACTGCGGCCGAGGCGGCTGGTGTGGGTCAAACCCAACGTGACGAAACATGCGGCAATGCTCCCGCAGCCGTGTATGACGGCGGCGCCGATGCGTCTGTAGAAGTATTAGATGTAACTGCTGACTCATCGGGGATGCACGTCTCGGTGCAATCGAATCCGAGCTGTAAGGCGTTGCGCCGCGACGTTGGTGTCTCGGTGAATTTGTGGACCCCTGACCCCTCGCGCGGAGGGGGTGAAAGGCATACGGCACCGCGGAACCGGCACATCGTCCCGTGCTCTTTGAGGCGCCATCGACCCTATGACGAACAACGCGACGATGCCACACCGCTGTCTCAGCGTCATGGCAGCGGCGGCCGTCCACACATGACGTCGTGCGGCACGCAACTAACTCCGCCCACGCGACGCCCCTATAGAGATGACGTTATTTTTGAGCTGGCCCCACGAAAGCCCTCTGCAACGGCCACAAACAGGGAAGGAAGCCCTGCAGAAGCAGTGGCGGGGTTGAGGAAAGAATTCTCCAATGGACCGGTGAGGACGTCTTCGTCATCCGCGGCGGCGCCCTCTCGAGGGAAGGAAGTGCTGCGAGAAAAGGATCCTCAGGAGTACGAAACTGGATTGGGTGGCGGCGGTGCGGAAGACCTTGAGCGGCTTGAGGTCCTTGAGGGCATGGAGGACTGGAGTCAAACTCCAGACGAGGCGGAGGCAGACGCATCAACGGGGGTTGCGGAGGCACTTCTGGACGAGGGGTCGCCATCGCTTCATACCCCCAGCACAGCCTACTCGACGACAGCAGACTTGGGGACGCGAGAAGAGCGCAGCGGTGCGCTATCTGCGGAGCACACGCGGCGTGAGGGTGACACCGTCCCTGAGTGTTCGCTTTCCACCATGTTAGACGCGACTGCGGCGGTGAGCGTCGACCCGTACGAAGTGGGCGCTCAGCGGCTGAGGCAAAATCCTGCTACGACGGCGGAGGAGGTAACCAGCCTTTCCTCCCCCTCCTCCTACACCCGTAGCATGAGCCAAAGTACAGGTTTTAATAAGTTGTCCGCCAGAAACTCTCACGACGGTCATTGCACGCATGACGGAAAAATGCCGGATGCTGCGTCTTACGCGTCACCCACTGGAGTCGGAGGCAATGTGTTTAGGGAAACAGGGAAAGACGCTGTGGTGTTCTACTATCCCCCATTCAACTACATGCGTCCCACGATGTCGTGGCGGCGGCAACACGAAGGGCTTGAGTGGCCAACGAAGCCTTTTACGTCGCCGGCGCGTAGCCGTAGCGTGAGATCAAATCGTAGCGGGCAAGCAGGGCGCCAGCGACGGTGGAAAGAAAGCACCCCGGCGCAGGTGACGCGTGTCCCTTTCGAAGAGGGTCCTGGTGTGTGGGGAGATGTGGAGCTACCGCGTAGGCCGTTTGGCTACGACGCTTCAGGCAGCAGAGCCTACGCAGTAACGAATGCCGTTTCTCATTCAATGCCTGTCGCCACCACCATCGCCTCCCCGCGTCAACGGCGCGATGCGGCTTGTCGATTCATGGCGGATGGAAGTGCGAGCCGCAGTCCCTCACATGCAAGGGGTTCTGTGCCGTGCCGCACGAGTGAGTCTCCTACGGCGGCAAAGGCAAACGCAGAGTCTGTGGAAAAAAAACTGAGGAGTTTTTCGACGATCCGGCGACCCTGGCGCATCTTAGTGGAATCATACAGCGGAGGTCTGTCTCGCCACGCCAAACCGGTCCGGCCGCGAACGTTTACACGGCATTTGATACTCCACGGTTGCGGTCGACGACGCCTTCCTACGTGGAGGCCTTTTACAAGCTTGACCGCGAGGTGGCAGGGCGAAAGCGCTTCCTTGCGTCCCTGCGTCGTAGTTCGACGCTGCTGGAGCTGCCTCGGTCCGCAGCGGAGGCGACCCCACATCGCCAGCACCAACAACATCATCGCCGACGCAGCAGTGATGGGAACGCTAGTGGCCGTGAGCTGGCGCTCTCCCCAGGGACTTCCTGCGGCGACTTTACGCGTTCGCCATGGAGCCCCAAACCGAAACCATGGCACTGAGGCGGTGCACACACATACGCACACACACGTATATGTACATATATATATATATATCCATACATATAACGAGGACGCCTGATGCATGTCCACGCTCACAGAATTAGGTGTATACATTATTGAAGAAGCCCGCATCTGGCAATCTTTCATAAAGCAGAGGTGAGAGCAACTAAAAAGTGGCATCTCGTATTTTACTTACGCACCGCTCCTTTGACGGGAAGTGTAGGTGTCAGTTTGTCTGCTCTAGGATGCAGACGTGGGGGTGAGGAAGAGTTGGCGTTTTCTGTCTCCTCCTCTACCGGAAGCCGCTGCACCTCACCAGAAAAGTATAACCTCATGACATTTATAATAAAGTGTACTTTCAGCTCTTGGGATGGGGGGGGGACGCACAACGCCTTTATTTTTTTTTTTGCTTTTTTTTTTGATGTCTCGCTCTCTCAATTTGGCCGTGTAGGGGTAGCGAGTGTCTTCAGTTGCCGCTTGCGTGGGGGAAGCGTGCAACGCGGGCGAACACGATAAGGGGGAGCCTAACACATACACAAGCAAACAAAAAAAAAGGACTGAGGGAGTGGGGGTGAAGACAAGGGTAGGCATGCCAGCCGCGGAGCACCTCTGTGACGGCTGCGGCAATCCCGCCTCCTCTTTTCAGTGCCCGCTCTGCCAAGCCGAGATTGCCACTGACCGTGGCTTCTTCTGCGGCCAGGAGTGCTTTGCGAAGAACTGGCTGAACCACCGCAATACGTTCCACAAGAAGGGCGTTGTTCGGGCCAAACAGCAGCCACAGCCCGCTGCCGTCGAGGCATCCGGGGAACGCCGAAAGCGGTCGACGGGGGAGCGGAAGGAGGCCAACGAATCTGCCAAAAAGAAGCGGAGGCTAGCAAAGGCGGTGGTAGTGGAAACAAAAGAGGCAGCCGTTGTCCCATGGCTCCCGCTCTCGGCGGAGACCCCCGACGGGGGCGAGGTGACACCGCCGCTATCCCCCAACACACCCCGCGCAGTGGTTGGAGGATGCCCATTGGCAGATTGTCGCACCGCATTCTGGTCGGCGGCTTTTGCGGCGTCGCGCCACATTCTTGCCGCACTTTCCCCAATTGACAGTGCCACACCGCCGCACGTGCTAGTTGTCACAAGTGGTCCATTAGAAGCGCATGCCATGGCCTGGGCCGCACGCTGCGCTGGTCTTGCAGGAGCTATGCGTCTTGTTGTGAGTCCACCTGCAGAGGCGGAGAAACTGGGCTCCGCGAAGAAGAATTCTGGTGAAGGACGAGTTGTGATTACAACACAAGCGATTGTGCGCTGTGTGGCGGACGGATCCGTGGCCGTGTGGCTACCGACAGCAAACAGTCTTCTCGTGACGCTGCCTGGCGTTGTGGACGCGTGCGACCTTCAGGCTGTTCACACCCGTGCCGTCTTTTTTGTCTACCACCGCACCGGTGACGCGGATTCATCGGAGGACAACTGGTGTGCGGAGGAGGAAATTCTCCATCACGTCTCTCCGCTGCCGAACCCTCCTGCTGCCCTGCACCGCCAATTTGATGCGGCCGTCGCCACGACTGTGAATTCCTCAACGAATGACGGAAATGGGGCGAATTCCACACCAACTGCAAGGCCGCCTCGTTTTGACAATGATGTGTCAACTGCACTTGTACGCGGTGACCTCGCAGGGGCCGTTCAACATCTGGTGCGGCTGTACAGTACAAATCGGGGTATATTTGAGGAAGTGCTTGTAAACAGTTTGTTATCGGCGCTTGGCGCCGCAGGCGTCGCCCACGCCCATCACACGCTGGCCTACGCCGCACGCCAACTCGTGGATCAATCCGCGAGGTTTGCCGGGCCACCTGGAGGCACGCTGAAGGAAATGACGCTCCGCGCAGTGGCCAAGGTGGTCCGTCTCTTCCCGCCCATCGCGGAGCTTGAGGAGGAGGAAAAGGCGGCGTTTCCGCTCGCCGTCGCCGCCGAGGCGGCCGGAGGCAGTGATCCACACAGGCTTCTTCCTCAACCCTCTGCCATCGAGAAGAAGAAGTTTGCGAACTACTACGCGACGCTTCCGAACCTTCAGCTCCAGGCCACCATGTGCTACCTCTACGATCAGGCCACACCTGCGGTTATAGATGCATTTGGTGCAGCCTGGGGGGTGAAGAGGGTGGTGCCCGGGCTTGAAGCCTTGAAGGTGGCGGATCGAAAACGCGAGGATGCAGTGCGACGGTTGCAGAGTCGATACGGCCCCAAGCTTAGTCCGGCCTTTGCCAATTACCTTGTGGTCTTGATGCACTTCCTCTACGATGCGGTGGCGGGATATTCCTTCGCCGTGGAAGAAGTGGAGCGGCGGACTCTCTGGTCGACGACGCTCGAGCCAAAAGTGGGTTCGCTTCGTAGTTTCCTGTCAAACTGTTTTCTACTGCAGAAGGAGGACACCGCCGCCGCGGAATCAAAGCAGGGGGCCACAGCGCGGCTGTCAAGCCGGAAGCTGTCGCACAAACCCCCGAGCCGTGCGGAACTGCTGCGTGCACTGCCGGTGCGAACTGCCATTCCAGAGGAACCGCTGGTTCTTTCGTGGTCGACGCTTCCACTTGCGGGCCAACGGCAACGTGAGGTAGAGCGGCTGCACCGTCAGGCAGTGGAGGAGATTCTCATGGCGATGCCACGAAACCCCCGCCCCATGTATGTTGGTGACGTTGGAAACCTTATTGGGAAGTGGCCGCATTTCAACTGCCGGTTTGACGGCTCTCTTGGTGTGAGTCTCATGGAGTTTCTTATGCAGCATCCCGAGTCTTTTCGAGTTGTGGGCAACCTCGTGACGCGGCGTACGGCGGGCGTGTCTGAACCCGTGAGGATGCGCTTTGACAACGACGACAGCGGCGACGATGACGATAACGACAACGACTCTGACAAGGACCGCAAGGCGAAGGACCGTGCGTTGCTCACGGGGGCAAAGGGCAGCGGTGGACGTGGGTTGAGTGCAAAGGACCTGCCGGCCCGAGCACGGAAGAGGGCGGCAGTGAAGGCCTTCAACAAGGGTCGCTTTAATCGCAACTACAAGCCGCTTGACTCCTCCGCAAAGGTGCCCGGGTACGTCAAGCATGGACCGCGCAAAGTCAAGGGGAGGGGCCGCAAGGCCAACAAGCGTGTCACAAAGCGTGGCGACTAGTGAGGATGGAAACACAGCCACTAGAAAGGGAGGGCGGACGGGGAAAAGAGGAGGCAACTAATGAGACAAAGTCTGGGGACCATCAAGAGGTGGGTGGGGGAGGAAGCGGATGGAAAGGAAACAAAAAGGAACCTCCATCGACAATGTCTTTTAGTCCCTCGGTGATGCACACTTCGAGCCCTGCGGGTTGGGGGTGGGCGGCTCCAATAAAAAACGCGTTTAAAAGAAACATGGATGAAATAAAGGAGGGGGAGGAAGAAAAAAAAAAAAGTTAGTCTGTGTGTGAATTTTTATTATTATTTTAAGGAGGGGCTGATGGTTGGAAAAATAAATTTCTGCATCTGCCTTGAAACGCATATAATTACGTAGTTAGTTATATCCACATGCACTGGCATGGCTGTATCGCGAAAGCCCCTTAGCTTCCTAACCACCACCAACGGCACAACCATCGACTTGAGAGATAATGAGCGGGGGCAAGCGAGGGCAGGTGGTCCCCTCTGTCTGGATTTTCCTATGCGACGAGAAGTCGCGGAACCCACTTCGGTCTATGATACTCTCTTCCCCTACCTATCTCTCTCGTCCTGTTTCTTTTTTTTTTTTTTCTCCTTTCAAGGCACCGAAAGAAGTCATAAAGAGGAAGACAAGCAGAAGCAAGGAGAAGGAGTAAGAGCGAAGAAATTTTCCTGACGGGAGGTGACAAGGTTCCCCCGCTTTGATGCGGGCATCGTCACGCTTAGCTGTTTCTCTTTCTACAACTTCCTCCACTACTCCTTTAGCCTGCTTTTCCTCCGCAGATGGTGCACTGCAGGAGGTAGAGCGAAGTTTCCTGCGCCATGTGATTCCACTGCGGCTGCAGGGGCCAGGGTCTGTTGCGGCTCTTTACCGTCATGCGTTCCTTCATCAGGAGCACCTTATCCAGCGCGTGCTCGGTGCGCTGGAGGCCGTTGCGCTCCCTGCCCTTCCACGCATGCTCCTTGCAGAGGGCTTTCAGCGAATGCTGGATGGAGAAACACCGCAACGGGATATTCGAGCTCTCTTTGAGGAAGCAGAGAACGAGGCACGAAGAATGTTGCTTCAGGCCGAATTTCACCTGGACACGGTTTCGCGGCAACCCGACGGACACTTGTATGCAGCCATCAAGACCAACCCCTTGACGCGGTTGTTGGCATACGAACTGCGAGCTGCCTGTGGGTACTATGCCCAGGTGATGTCCATTCGGAGTCAACCAGAGGATAGTGCCGCGGCGCTGTTACGCACCGTCATTGCGGCCGATGTCCGTACCGACCCTTTTCTAGCTGACCTCATGTTGAAGTTTGCAGCGTTACGCCGAAACGTGGCAACAGGTGAACGGCTGGAGACTTGTCTCCAGCCTGTAGAAGAGTTTGTGAAGGAGTGCCTCTTGCTTGAGCGTGACGCCTTTGGTCGGTTTCGCTTTGACGCCCGCGGTGATAACCGCCACGTCTTGCACTGCATTAAACTTGTCGACATCACGAAGACGCCAAAGGATTTTTCCGTTTTGCTTGATCCGGTGTTGCGGCAGTACGGCAACTTTTGCCTCCAAAGCACACCGGTGCATCAGGGGCGGTGGATGGAGCACAGGCTGTCGTGTGCGGAGGAGTCTCACCGTGTCGATCCGCGGCTGCCGCTGGTTGAAACGGTGGAGGTCCCTGCTGAGAGCGAGACGGAGTTTCATATCGATGGCATTTTTGGCGTTGCTCGCGGCGCATCGGAAGGGCCACCGCTAGTCTTCTTTGTGCGCTACAACGACCCAATTTGTCGCCGCCACAAGGAGACGACGCGGGAAAAGGAGGCCGAGAAGGACCACGTTGAGGTGTTTGAACTCGCCGTGGAGGACACAAGTCGCTCTTTTTGGGAGAAGTGGTTCTTGGACCGCTGAGCAGCGGGCGGCTGACACGTTGAGAGCACCCACGTGAGACCACGTGAGGTGACCCCAAACGAAGAAGAAAAAGTGTGTATATACATACATATGTGCCCTCTAGTTTCATGCGTTTTTTTTTTGGTCTCATACGTGTGCGATGCAACGTCGTCGTTCGCATACCTCTCATGGCTGTTATACGCCACGTGGGCGTTGTCCTTCTCCCTCTCACCGGGGCAGAGCCGACCGAAAGACGAAAAGTAAAGGGCGAGAAGGGGGGCAAATGTATCCACTCTGGTGAGTGAGTAGAAATTTATTTTATCATTATTTTTCCATTGCTTCTTCTCTTTTTCCGCTCTTCCTGCAGACCGCAGAGGCACCCAGCCAAGACGGGCCACGCCTTGCGGAGGGGGGAGGAAGAGGGGCAAAAAAAAAAAAAGTGCAAGAAGCAGGGGCTTTTGTGCTCCTGCCGCCGCAGGGAGGGTATACTGTATACATTAGACTGAAGAGCAATAGAGCGATGTCGCAGGCTGTGCGCATCCGCACGGAAAAGCCCCCGGTTCTTCGTGGTCCTAAGCGTCGCTATGCCAAGACGACGCCTACGACCCCCTTCCCCGGGTTTATCCCCGGTGCGTCGTTTGATGCCGCTGCCCCCTCCAGGCGGGAGGCGTTGCAGCAGTTCCATCGCCTCGAGATGATGGTAGAGGTGGAAGAGCGACTGCGCGCGGAGAATGGGCTGGTGCTGTCCGACACGGGAGGTGTGTCGGACGACGACTACCCAGTCTGCGAAAACACAACTGCAGAGAAGTCTGGGGAGGGGTCCGCCGCGGCTGCCGCTCTGCATGATGCTCGGGAAGAGATTGCGGGCCGCACACTGCACGCGGATCCGTATTGTAAGGAAAATGTTTGGTCAGAGGCCCGGCGGGAGTGTCAGCTGGAGGGGGGTCATAGTTCGGGAGAGGCTGCGGATATGCACTTTGCTACTCGGGGCAACTTTATAGAAGAAGATGGCGCGCTCGAGGGTGACACCCATGCGGCCATCATGGCGGATCTCGGGAGGCTGCACTCGCGCCTTCAGCAGGCACGAAGCCGGCACGCGCGTCATTTGACTCCGCGTCAGCGTGGGCAGCCGTCGCCGTTGGGAGACGGTGCTGCAGCAGCGTCAGTGACTAGTGACGATTCCGTTGTCTCTAGCGAGGAGGCGGAATTTGACCCAGAGCGCTATGTGGCACCGCTGCTGCGATGCACGCATCTCGTGGAAGGCGCCGATTTGCGTACGCCGGATTTTGGAGGCGAGGACGGAGGCGTGGCCCGGTTTCGGGCCGTTCGTGACGCTTTGCCGGGCGCCACAAGTGTGCAGGAGGCGCTGCGGCTCTTGCAGTACAGTGTCCACTCTAACCGCCCGGAGGTGGCGGCGTGCGTGCGGCGGTGCCAGGAGCAGCGGCGGCAGCATCAGCCGACGGCAGCCGTGGCGAACCTTCTGACGGAGGAGGCAGCGGAGCCGGAGCCGCCGAAGGCGGCGAGGAAGGCAACACGTGGGCGTGAGGAAGACGCGGCGGCGGCTTCTCGATCAGACCCGCCACCCTCCGCGGCTGCAGTGGCGGCGATGGTTGCAAGGACGCTTCCACGCATACCAGATGAATTGCGGGACGAGCTCGTGGATCAGCGGAGGCTACTTGAGCGACTCGCCGCGGCGCAGGAGGCGAGCCTCCGTCAGCTTTCGCGTGAGCAGCAGGAGGCGGCACGGCGACGCATCATGGCACCACGTGCCGACCCCACTTTGGCGCTACTCGCTCCACCAAAGCTGCGGCGGGCGGAACCGTTTGAAATCGCGGAGGCACTACAGAAGATTCAGGACGATCCAAAGCGGCCGCTACCGCCGGTCATTACAATCTCAACGATGCGACCCCAGACGCCGTTGGTGCTGCCGCCGACGCCTCCTTCCTTGCCACCCCACTATATTGAAGAAGAGTTGGGGCGACTTCACTGCCAGTATGAGAGGCTCCTGCGCGACGAGCGTCGGGCGTGGACAAATATCATGCAGGAGCAAAGGAAAGCTTTCGAACAAGAAAAAAATGCGACGATCCAGACACTGCGGTATGCTGCTGTGCGGCAACAGCATGAGAACACGGAGGAAATAAAGCGGGCTATTGCTGCACAGGAACTGAAACGGCGTCGGTGGCAGCACGCTGCGGAGCTTAAACAACGTTCGGCATTCCAGCAGATGCTATATAAGGCCCTGCCTCCAGGCGAGGATGGGCTTGGGCGTGTGGTAGGAGGAAGGCGAGCCGTGGCCGCCACAGCCATGCCAGCCAGACGTCAGCGTCAGCAGCAGTTGGCAGACGTCTCAGAGGATGAGGAAGACGCCGCAAATAAGTTTGAAAACGAGGAAGGCGAAAACAGCAACGACAACAACACGACGAACAAGAAACGAGATTTGAGGCATCCCATTGTCACCGGGCCTTTTTCTGTTGTCTTGCCAGAGGAGCCATGCGGTGAGGCGGCTGCACCGGCCCATAATGCTTCATCGCAGCGGGCGGAGGAAGTCGTGCTGCTGTCTGACAAAGAGGAGAGGGGTGCGGGTCACCACCAAACCCGTGGAGACGCAAAGGTTGGTCTACATGCGTCCACCGTTAAACGACGAATTGGCGTCCCCTCACCCGCAGGAAATCGCGAGAAGTTTCCACGACCACAACGCTCACCGTATGCGGCACCTCCCAGGCGTCCTCTGAGGGCGGGGGCAGCTCCAGGCAGTAAGTCCACCGCCGCCCTGCACCACACACGTGCGTCACCACGCTCTCGCAATGCAAGGTCACAGCATCAGTCTTTTAGCAGAAGATCAGCTGAGGGATCTCCGTACGCCTTTGCAGTGCATGACGCCCCGCCAAACACGGAACAGAGGTTTTACAACACGGCTGAGACTGTTCTCACGGACTCGATTCATTCATTAAATGCAACACTGCCGCCCTCCTCTGTAGCTTCCGCCGTGGGTGGTTGCCCGCACCCTTTTGAAAACATTCCCAGCAGGGGCGAGGCGTCTGCCGGGCAAGCGGTGTTCCCAGGCAGCATCTTGTTGCTTTCGAATCCGCTGACGGCCGAGGAGGCGGAGAGGCGGCGCGGTGTTGCGCGCGCCTTCGATGTCTCCCTCCCGCCCCCGCCACAGGTCACTACGGCGGAGGGGGGAAAAGAAATGCAGCGTCCATGCGACGTCTATTACTTTGGCGAAGAAGCCGCAGCCTTGACACCGCGTCGACGGGCGAGGCTTCGGGCGGCGGAGGCCCGGACACGCATAGAAGCAAGACGCCGTCTAGAGCGTATTAAGGCCCTCTCGTTGACGTCGCCCGGCCAGAAACTCGGAGAATCTCGACCTTCTTTTACGGAGAAGTTTTTGGCTGCCGAGGAGAGTGAGCAACGCCTGACGGATCTCATTGCCAGTGAGACCATTCACAGCATTATCGGGGATGCGGCTGAGGCGAGCCTGTTTGCTGCTTTGATTAACGAGCTGGAAGATGAGCTCGTGAGCGCCGAATTGCACCACCTCACATCCAAGAATTTGGAAGGGAACGATGAAGCTGCACGGCGGCCGCAAGCGAATGAAAAGGAGGAGGATGGAAAGGGAGATGTAAATGCCCCTGATACGGTGCCAGTGGAGCGCGTGGCGGCGACGTTGCACACCTTTGCTGCCCCCATCAATGAGGAGTACTCTTTGCAGGGAACCGTCTTGCGCCTTCTGGAGGAGTCCTTGCTGCAGTTGTGCCTACGGCAGACCTCGGCGGAGGAGCCTAAGGAGGAAAAGACGCAGGAAGAAGCAGGGGAACGAGGGGCGGGGGAGGTGGTTCCAGAGAGAGAGCAAACGGCACTGGCATCTGACGCTCTCCCCGAAACGGAGAGGGAGCCGTTGTGGGTGCGGGAGGTTGTTTCTGCCACCACCGACCCTCTTTGGCGTGCACCGGAGGGAGAGGCGAGCCCGCCGTGTGCGTCGTCCGTCCCAGCGGCGACGCTGACGACGACCAGTGGAAAGGATCGTTTATCATTGCCACCGCCGCCCTCCATAAACGCAACGGCAACACAGTTGCCGCTGCTTGCTGCTCCGCAGAAGGATGTTGTGTTGACGCTGGAGGGCGCCAACGGCAGCGTTGTGCCGGATGTCACTGGTACCCTTCGCATTGTGCTTGACATTGCCCCCGTCATGGAGCAGCTGGCTGCTGTCGCACTGCCGGCTGCGGTGCAGCCAGCCAGCCCCGCACACGGTGGCGCTCTGGCGAGCGAAGCACGGCAGATGCCGTGTGTCATGGAGGATGAGATTCTCTCCTGTGAGGTGGTGGAGCCTGCAGTTACCAGAACTACCCATGACTTACCGGCGACGAAGGAGTTAAAGAGCGAGGAGCTGCAGGAGGTGAAGCCGCCTCCCCTGGTTTCCAGTACTCCACAAGGAGAACTTCCTCTTCCAGAAGGCGTTGTGGCAGTCACGAAGGTTCCTAATGCACGTCAGTCTCTCTACATTGAGCTTGAGCAGCAACGCGAGCGTGCTCGACTGTCTGACAATGAGTTGTTGCAACGGCAGATGCTGGAGGAACAAGAGGAGGCATTGCGAAGCTCTTGGCACATGATGTGGGATTGGCAGCAGATGAATTTCGCGATACTCAATCAACATCGTGATCAGCACAACCTGTGTGTTTCGGCGTCGCAATCCGTTGCCGTCGCCGCGCCCCACAGAGAGGCAGAGGCCGTGGCGAACGACGACGAGACTCGTGGCAAGGAAGTTTTGCCGCCAGTTCCGTCTACCTCCACAATCCGTGATCCCATTACAAGGTTTATCTTTGAGTGGATGCACGATTACGACAAGAAGGAGGAGGAGAAGCCAGTGCGAAGGAGTTTTGTGGAAATGCTGCACGAGGCGAGTCACATGGCAAGGGAAAGCGCGTTGCAGGAGGGAAGCGATGGCACGTCTATGGCCGAGATGGATCTGCGTCGGCGGTTGCTCATGGAGCTCGACAACGCCGACTCTTCCTCGTGGCTTTCCAGCACTCACGCGAGCAGCATCGCCTCGGACGGGTTCCCGCGCTTTACGACTCGTCCACAACACAACGTGGCACGGCCGCGACGCACGTACCGGCGCCGTGACGAGAACCCGTCATCTGCGACGACGGAAACTACACGCTACACGAGCTCCTCCTCGACGCCGTGGACCGCGCAGGAGCCATGGGGCGGGGGAGTCTCTCCGCCCCAGAAGGCGGTGGTGCGCAATCCCACCAGCACGACGGTGACGACGACGTCAAGCTCCGGCCGTACCTGGTTTTCGACGAGTTCTTCAGAGAGGCCGCATCTTAGCGACACCATGCTGCGCCGTCTCCGCCAAATACGGTCGTCGGATCCCTCCCCGCAAGAAGAGGAAGAGGAGGAGGGTCAAAGCCGCGAATACAACTCCGTGGAGGAGCTACGGCGGGAGGTGGAAAGGATCCAGGCGGCGCAGCAGAAAGCTGCCCAGTAGGATGCCAGACTTTGGGGCCCCTTGCAAACCAAGGGCTACACCACACGCAGCCTCGCCCCCCGCGCCCTCTCATTCTCCATCACTGGCGGCAGGGACAAGAATACCTGCTGTGTTGGATTTTCTGCCCGCGAAACGTGGCCGAAGCGAAGGCTGACTCGGAGAAGATTTTTTTTTTCCACACCACTACATGCACCGCGAAAAGCACCAATGTGTTTTCTCATTTTTTGTCCCCTTCTCTCTTTTTATATCTTTTTTTATTCTTTGTTGCCCCCTCTCTATTTGTTGTAAGACGTTTTTTTTTATTTCTCATGTTTTTCCTGTCTCTTTGCTTCGTATAGTGCGGCGCGCGGCTGCCACACACCCACACCCACACACACAAACACAAGGCAAAAGACTTCACGCGTTGTGGAATGATATGCCCACAACCTCCGTGGCAGAACAACTTCACCCCATTGGGGGCGCTACGTTGCTCGCCGAGAATGGGCGGCCCTGTCTTCTTTTTGACGCCAATGAAGCGACTACAGTGAGCCCCGAGGGCTGGGATGCCGCTACAAATGCTCAAGAAGAGGCGGGGTCCACCTTTTTTGGTGGGGTGAATCTTCTTGCGTCTCCTGCGACACAGTCGGGCAGCCAGGACATGCGCGCCGAGGAGCCGGGGATTCCCGTGCAGCGGCGGCATGTAGTGTACGAGTACGGGGACGGGGCGTTTATTCCTGGCGCGCTGCATAACGAAATCCTCGCAAATCGGGCGGAAATGCGGGAGCAGGAAAGTGTGCGGGAGGCGCAAAGCCAGCTCTTTGCGCCCCCAGCGCATGACACGACCGGTAATAGTGGTGGTGGGAGAGGCGGAGTCTCTAGTCTTCAGACGGCCTCGTTTGATGGTTTTAATCATAATTTGCACGCAGAAGAACTTCGTGGGGTTGTGCGAGCGTTTCTGAAGTGCATGCGCCACACCGAGTTGCTTTGTAAAACCTTTACAGCCGGAGCTGCGCTACTTTCCCTGCTAGTCGTGTGTATGGGTAAATACCAAAACAATTTACTAGGGGATACGCTTTTAGTGTACTTTGCTCTAGCCCACACCTTTGATGCCCCCATGTTTTTATTTCTTTTCCTCCTGCTGCTGGTTACTTCGCTCGCCCCAATGGCATTTGCTCTTTCGGAGGCACAGTGGAGGCCGGTGCAACGCCTCCACACGCTTTATTCCAGTAGTAGCGTGACACCACGCGTAGACGAACGACGCCGCTCCGAAAACTTGACTTCCACTCGACTTGGAATGAGTGTTATGCCATGCGCGGTCCCTTCAATGGGGCCCAGACCCTTGCTGGTTGACAGTGGAAGAGGCTCAATTCTCACACGTTCTCTGCAACTGCCGAACACGAGCCCCAGAAGAGGCGAAGCCACAACTGCCGCATCATATACTGACCCCAATGCGGCGCCGGTAGAGAACACAAAGGAACCGCGGGTGACTCGTGACATAGTGGCGACCGAGAGTATATTAGCCGGACGTCTGTTGGGGTTAAAGCCCGTTAGTCCCTGGCTTCTATTGTTGTCACCTAGAGTCTGGATTTACCTTGCTGGGCTAGTGCTTACAGTGGTAGAGGTCGCCTGCACTGAAGAATGGTCGTCGCAGGATATTTTGGCAATGAAGGTGAACGGTTATGACACCAAAGCAAGGCTGCTTTTTGTTATTCTCACCGTCCGTGCGGTTCTCTTGCTTATATCTCTTTTACTTGTCTTAATTGACTGGTATCGCGAGTATGACAAACACCTTTTCACGGAGGAACCCGCGGGGCGACAGTGAGCTGGAGTCTGACCCCAGTTGAATTCCCTTTTTCTGCATACATGTCTCTTGTGTATGTCGCTTTTCCTTTCCTTGATGCGGTTTTATGTGGCGCTTAGCGTCTGCTGCTGCCATGCGTGTGTGTGTGTGTGCCTCTGTGCATGTCGGTATACATCCATGGGCTCTTTTGCCTGTTGGCTGCAGTGCTGCTTGTTTTATTGCTGCTCCGGGTCTTCGCCTATTTAACCCCATCGGTGCTTTAGCTAAACGACGAAGGCGCCGGATAGTGAGCGAGCAAGCGAGAGGCGAACTAGGTATAGCATACATAAGAGACCTCGAGGAGGGCCCCCAAAAGAACTATTTACAAGGAAAAGAAAAGAAAAAAAAAGTAAAAAAAGGGGAGAGCGATATATAGAAATATATATATATATATATAATCCGTGCACCGACATACACACCCCTCGTGCGGGTGCTTTTCCGTGCGTCAGTGGGTGCAGAGGCGCAAGAAGGAGAAAAGAAAAAAAAGTCGCCGAAGAGGGACGAGAGCGCTGGTGCAACAGGGAAGCCAAATATTAATAACAATAAAAGCTGTTACATAATCAATATATTTTAAAAAGAGAAAAGGAGGGGGAAAAAAAAACAAGGCCAAAAGTTTCATTCGTTGGAGCCAATAACACACACACACACACACACACACGCAACGGAAAAAAACACAAATTATATAATATTGGTTTAATTCGTGTAGTTGGACGAAAAAAAAGGACACAAAACTCCAAGGAAGGAGTACAGCAACAACAAAAAAAAGGAGGGTTAACAAAAAGGACAAGAGACAAGTTTGAGGTGAGAACGAGAACGTGAGGCAGACGCGCCGAGCGTAACACCCTGCAGAAGGCGTAAGGAAGTAACATACAGGCAGTCCACGCAATTGTGGTACGCAGTGGAAGACATGAACGCAGGACACGAATCTTGTGGTTCCTCTCAGGCATCCCCCCAATTGGCGGACGAGGACGGCGGGGATGCACCTTCGACAGGTAGTAGTAATGGAGCTGTTGCTGCTGCAACTGCGGCTCAAGCAAAACCAGTGTCGGAGCTGCCAGAGGCGACAGCAACAGCAACAGCGGCAGCGGCGGCAGCAGCAGCAAGTGCCCTCCACCCGGGTGGCCCTGGTTGCTTCCGGCCCGGCGAGGGTGCCTCGCCAGATGCTGAGCATAAGTTTGGCTACAGAGCAGGAGCCGCTCAATTCTGTGAAACGGTTGTATTGCGGACCTCACCATCATCGCCACCGCCTTCGGTGGCTGAAAACGCAAAAGTATTGCCTGCCCTTCATGCTTTGCCGCACACCCATTCACTTGACCCTTTTTTGGCCAATACAACCACGCAGGTGTCAAGCGACCGTATTGCCTCGGCGCAAACGTGCCCAGTAGAAGTGAACGCCGCGGCGACAGTCGGGGACGAGATGGATTTCACTGAAAATGGGCTGAGGGAAACCCGTAAGTGGCGGGCGACGTCATTTCCTTCACCTTCGTTTTGTCCTATGGATGATATGCAGCAGGCCTTTGCGCAGCCCCTGTCGCACGCGGCGAGGGTGGGCGGTTCCGTTTGGGGTAAGCAATTTCGACCGCGTTTCAGAAGTCGGCTGCAACCGCTGGCTACCATTCAGGACCCTCATGCCGCTTCCGCCGTGCGTGAACAAAATCGCAGCATGCTCATCTCTGTGTTGATGTGGCAAAAACTCTCATTACACCGCCAACTAGAAGAGATGCGAAAGGAATTGTCGGGTCAAAATATATTTTCCCTGGTAAGGGCCAGCAACGCCTCACAGCTGCAGTACCTTCTTGAGAATAAGCTCTGCGACCTCAACAAGCGGGACTATAATGGATGCACACCCCTGCATGTGGCAGCGCTGGAAGGCAATGAGGCGATTGTGCGCGTGTTAATTTCATTTGGTGCGGATATCATGGCCACTGACAATACGGGACGGACCCCGCTTGACTTGGCCGCGGCCAATCGTCACAGCGGCGTGTGTCGCTATCTACTGCATGCTACGCAACAAATTATGCTTCTGCAGGAGCAACGAAAAGAACAAGCGAGTAGTGAAAGTGAGCAGGTGGGCTCCGCAGAAACGAATGCCGGACGAAATACGGGTTTTAGTATGAATATTGCCGCCAACTCAATGATTCACTCACTGCGTTTATCTCCCACAATGCGGGCATGTAAATGTTTGTCTGTAGTGCAATCACCGTCACTGGATTCCGAGGCCGGAAGTGAACAGCAAAATGACACTGCCTCCGCTTCGCTCATGGCTTGTCTCCCGCCAGACGTGATGTCCGTTATTCAATCTCAGTGCGTGGCAGCAAGCCATTCTGTGGAGGACGGCTTGCAGAATGCGGTGGAGGAGGAGGAGGAAGACGACGACGACGACGACGGAGCAGAAGAGGAGCATGCCGCGTCTAAATTTTCAAGCTACACAACCATTTCGGACACGGTGCCGCTTGTTGTTTGCATGGTGGGTCTGCCGGGGCGTGGCAAGTCGTTTATCGCCCAGAGGCTCTCACGTTACCTCAACTGGAAGGGTGTGCCTTGCCGCGTCTTCAACGCGGGTAGCTATCGTCGACGACTCCTCGGTGCTGAGGGGACCGCAGAAGCGTGTTTCTTTGACCCAAATAATGCCAAGGGAAGCCAATTACGGGAGAAAATGGCACAACTCGCATGTGAGGACCTTGTGGAGTTTATTTCCCAACATCGCACCGCTGTGGGTGTGTTTGACGCCACCAACACCACAAGGGCACGCCGACGCAAGCTTGTGGAATTTTTTACCAATGCATCGAAGCAGCGCAATATGGAGTTTCGCATCGTATTTATTGAGTCTATTTGCACGGACGATAACATCATCACGGAAAACATTCTCCGTTCAAAGTGCGGCAACGACGACTTCAAAAATGTTGGGGACATAACCAGAGTAATCGCCTCCTTTCGCTCTCGCATTGCGGAGTATGAGAAGGTGTACGACCCGCTGGATCGCGCAGAGGATATAAGCTTCATTCGCATCGTGAACGTGAAACAGCACATTGTGATGCAAAATATACCCTGCGGTCTCGCAAGTCGTATTGCGTTTTTCCTACTGAACCTGCATCCTGTTGCGTACCCCATTTACATCTCACTCCCTGGTGAAACCGAGGGTGAGAGCAAACATGTCTACGGCGGGGATGAACACTTGACGCCGATGGGCGAAAAGTTCGCCCTGGCACTGCGGCGTTTTATTTTGGAGCGGCATGTGCCAAATATGATCGTGCTGCACGGCACCAACTGCAGCGTGGTAAACACGCTAAAGCCGCTTGCTGAGTTCCTGCGTGACGATAGCGAGAATGGTGTCAACAGGGCGGAGTATGAGGAGAACGGTGCCTTCAGTGGGCTTCCGTCGCAGGAGGAGCTTCTGTGTCCTCTTCCGGGCCTTGACAGCATCAACTACGGCTGGTTTAGTGGACGAACCGTGGGGTGGGTGCGAAAGCGCTACGCAAAACTCTCACGTATTCTTTTCACGGCGTCGCCAGGGAGCAGTGTGGAATCCTTGTCGAGTATGAATATCTCGCCAACTTCGCCCGTTGAAGAAAATGACATGGCACACAGGGGGAAAAAGAGGCACCTGGGCCTTCACAGCAGCAAGACGAGCATGAGGAGGGAAATGCGGCAGAGCAACACTTTGACAAGGGTGCTGAGGGAATTCGTCGCTTCCGTCATGTCCCTAATGGCACTGACCCTCGTTTGTCTTACTGTGTGCAGTTTCCAAATGGTGAAAGTTGCAGGCAGGTGAATGTTCGGCTCGAGCCAGCGCTAATGGCAGTGATGCGTGTGCAAGGACCAGTCGTTGTTGTCGCAACTTCAGTGCCGGCGCAGGGCGTTCTCGCTTTTATGGCAGACGTTTTGCCAGAGATGTCGCCGACGCTGCGTTTACCCAAGCACGCCGTGGTGGAGATTGGGGTTAAAGGGGACATCACAGTGCATCAACTTGAGTCCGCTGAGGACAGCCTCTGCCTGGACACATGAATCGCACAGAAGTAGTGCGAGAGTGGCAGGTATTATTACGGGCGTGCAGCTACGCGTATGTGAGGGTGGGGAGCAGGCAGGAATATGCTCTTATGTTGGGCAGCAATGGGAAGGGGGAAAGAGCGGGTACGCATCCACGCGCACACATTGGCACACAGTGGCACACCTTTTTTTTTTTTGTCCATCTCTGTTTTCATCGATAGTTGGATCTCTTTTTGGTCTTTTTTGTTTGTTTGTTTGTGCGTATGTGTGTGTGTGGGTGGGTGGGCGCATTTTTGCTGCGGCCCAAGTGGCTTTGTGGCATTCATCCTCTCTTTCTTCACCCTCCGCCCAGTCTCTCTGGGTCTGTTGCTGTGCGTGCGCATGTGTGAAACTGTAGCTGTAGCCGTCCGCTATTCCCCCCCCACCCACCACCACCACCACGCACACACCGTCTTTTTTTTTTTCTTTGTGGTGGTCTATGGCGGGATCGAAACGCGAAAGGTCGGTTGCATCCACCGCCCACCCACCACCACTTGCTGTCGCGCTACGGTGACTATTCCTTTTGCTTTGCTTTGCTTTGTGGCTCAAACACAATATATATATATATATATACCGCTTGGGGGAGTGAGTGCAGGCACGCTAGTGAGGGGGGCTGTGGTGGCGATGATCATTTCGGAAGGAACCCCCATGACAAACGGCGAGGTGTTTGCGCTACTGCGGCGACGCCGCGACGAGCGCAACGCGAAGATGCAACCACCATTTGGAATGCAGTTCGTGGGTGGCAGCAACATGCCGCAGCAGCAGCAGAAACGAATCTCGGCCTCAACAGTCGCGAATGCGTCGGCACACACGAGCCTCTTTTTCCCACCTGACGCACTCGTGGCGGATGGACCGATTGCGGGTCTGCAAGGAGCGATGTCTGCGGCTTCCCGTGTTAACGCGAATAATAGCGTTCTCTTCTCCTCGCCGGCGTCCTCGCACCTAATGGTGTTGTTGACGGAAGTGCGTGCCCTACGCTACCTTGGCCGCTACGCCACGATCAGTGGCAGCGACAGGGTGCATGCGCTTTATGGCCCCACTAGTGTGCACACCCGGCGTAGCCGGAGCTTCACTGCCTCGGGTTCCAATGAACAGACGCGAGGTGGTCGGCAACGGGGTGAAGAGAATGGGCACGATGCCGCATCATCGCCTGCAGACGAGGGCCTAACCGATATCCCCGCAGCTAAGGAAATGCAAGAAGAGGCGTTGACGCAGCAGGTGTGGCGCCATCGCCCTGGCACTGTGGGTCACGTATGTGCGGTAGAAGCCCTTCTCGGATTCTGGGAGTCGCACGGGCGGGAGGTGGAACGCCAGAGCGCAACGGCAGTGAAGGCGGTGTTGCGTTCCGTGAGGCAGAGGTTGAGTGACCCTATACGAGGGAACGAGGAGAACTTCACTGCGCATAATAATACTAATAGCCAAAACAATAAGGAACATGAGTCACACCACGCTTCCCCAGAGCAACCGCGTCTGTTGTTTGCCCCGCCGTCTGTGCCGCTTGCGTTGTTTCTTGCGGAACAATCGCCGGTGAGTCCGACGGCTCCCATGCCTACAGAGCATCGTCATTGGACGGAGCAGGATGTTCTTCAGCTAGTCATGGCGCGACCACAGGAAAGCCTTGACGTGCACCGCGTCATGGACGATGTTGAAGAGCTTGTCGGTCAAAATGAGGAGTTGTTGAACTTTCTGGAGGAGGAACTTGTAAAAGTGTTCCTGTAGGCCGTTGTTGGCGGAGGTGGCAATGGTGGCCGTGGGTGTTGAGCTCCTGCTGCTCTCGGAGGGGGACCCAACATACTTGCCTATTACGCATCGCCTCCTAGACGCTGCCTCCCCCTTTCCAGTGACAAGAGCTGCTATGGACCCTTTTGTTTTACCTGAGACGCGGCGCGGCACATTGCTTGTCACTCCACCGCACTCCCTTCACTTTTGTGTCTCGCTGTGGCTGCCTGCTTGGCGCTATATCTTTTTCTAGTTGTGTGAATTATTTTTTTCCCCCTTGCTTTGCCTCTCTGATACATAAAAATACATGCATAATTATTTTGCTTGGAAGGGTATAGCTGGTTATTCAGTCTAGTCAGGGCAGCTGGCGCGTAGCTCTCTGTGGAGCGGTTGGCACCAGTGCAGTGTATATCACGCTTACTTATATACTGTAGGTGGGAGTGGCGTGGCACTGTCCTCACTCAACTGGGCCTGAGTTTGCTGACAAACCCCACTTGGGGAAACAGCAGCGAGGAGAAGGGAAATAAGAATAAAGCAAAAAAAAAACATAGAAAAAAGAAGGTGGGGGTTGTGCCAACAACATCCGAAGAAAGGACTTAGATATAAGCTATATATATATATATATATATTGTAGCTAGTCGGTGTGTATTAGTTTGCGCCCGTGGGAGGCTTCTGCAGTGCTGAGCTAGCTAGTAAGAAGGGAGCGCGGCGAGAATGGTAAATAACGGCAAATTAAGTCTTCGTGAGCGGCTCTCTACCGCCCTTGGGTGGCTATTGTCCTCCAAGCAAGATCGACCTGAATCTAGCAAGAAGCGTGGCGAATGCGCCGCTCCGGTCCCGCACCCCGTGGGTCAGTTGTTGGCGTCGGAAACTCGTCCCCTGTCATTGGCGACCGCGGGAGCTCCGCCGAAGTCGACGACGCACAGCCCAGACGCCAGCGTCAAATGCGGTGGGGAAAAGGGCGTGGCGGCGGCTCCGCGAGTCCGTGATCCAGAGGGGGCGTCCGTGCAGTCTCCCGGCAGCAACGCCGCCCCGGATGCTGCCCCAGTGGATGAAAGTGGTTTCTTTTCGTTTCTTGAGGACGTCATCGCGGGCAATCATACAAAACTGCTGAAGGAACTGAATCGATCGCACACATCAGACTCCGCCAGCAGAACGGAAAGTACGGCACCCGCCTCGCCCCCTCTGACGCCCAGGGACGCCGAGGAAACGGCCAGGGAGAGAGTGGTGGCGGCGTCCTCCTCCTCCTCACCCCCGCCGCCTTTATCAATACCGCCTTCGCCCCCTCTTTCTGGGAAAGAAAAAGAAGCGTCGAAACAGGGAGCGTCGCGAGCAACACAAGCTGCTTTGGATAACCCCTCGCAACGAATCGGTGCCTCTTCGGCAGCCCGCTCGCTGAAGGACTATGAGCTTCTTGCGTACCTTGGTACCGGCACATTTGCCGAGGTTACCTTGGCACGACACAAGGCAACCCACAGGCTATTTGCGCTAAAAAAGATATCTAAACGAAAAGTGCGAGAAGAAGGTTGTGTGCAGTGCACTTTCACGGAACGTCAGTTGCTTGCGTCACTTCGTCATCCCTTCCTAGTGAGATTGTATCAGGCGTTTCAGAGTCGTACGCACCTCTACCTTGTTCTTGAGTTTGCACAAGGTGGCGACATGTACTTCTTCCTAGAGTCGAAGCCGTGGCTGCGGGAGATGCGGCGAAAACTTCAAAAATCGCAGCGAACCCATTTTCGTGCTGATACGTCATTTTCATCTCTACATGGCATGCAAGAAGAGTCTGAGCTGGCGACGGGTTCCTCCTCTGCTTTTAGGTCGTTGCACTCAACCATTTCCTCCCTTAATGCCCCTTTAGCCCTGGCCCCAGACCATAGTCGTGCACCCATTCGTTTGATTGCCTTTTACGCTATCGAACTCGCATTAGTGCTGCAGTATCTGCACGATCAGGGTTTTGTCTATCGCGATCTTAAGCCGGAGAATGTCCTCATCACACGTGAAGGACATGTGATGCTTACCGATTTTGGGGTGGCGAAGTATGAGGCTGGAGTCAAGCGAAGGGGAGCGGGTGGTGAAGGTGTCAAGAGTTTTACAGGTACGGCACAGTACATGAGCCCAGAGATGCTGCTTGGGGAGCCACAAGATTCCCGCATGGACTGGTGGAGTTTTGGCTGCCTTCTTTTTGAAATGGCAACGGGACGCCGACCCTTCGAGGGAGAGAGTCCGTATGTCATTCTGCAGGCCATCGTCGAGCATGATGTATGCATTCGCCATGAGGACTTTCTCCTCACCTCGCTGGAGATAGAAACACGTATGACGCAATTGCAGCAACGATACCAGGCCTTCGTCCTTCAACATTTGGGGCTGATGGAGCAGGAGAAGGACACCTGGAGCATGCCCGAGGAGGAGGGTGTGAAACCCTGTAGCGTCTTTCTGGACCCACAGTCCACGAAGTCGAGAGACGTGTCTTTCGTGCCGTCTGAGACTGTCGTATGTGAAGGCAGGGGCGTCAGCGGTGATGGTGCGCGCAGTTTGCAGGGCGAAGGCCTCAACCACAATAATCGGGACACAATGAAGGCAACGACCTCCACGACTTCTGAAGACCGTGCCATGTATATGAAGTTTGCAGTAGAGGAATTAGATGAGGCGTGCGAGTTATTGGGCGACCTCATCGTTTCACTGCTAGAGCGCCGCGTTGAGCGGCGTTTGGGTGGAACATCGGTGCTTGAGCACCCCTTCTTCTCCTGCCCGTATGTCTGTTCGCAGATGTACTACACGCACGATGCGAGAACGGAGCTAGACGACAACAGTAGCCTTTACAACACAATAAAATCGACCTGTAGTTCCGCCCTCACCCCACAACATCCCCCCACTAAGTCAAATGAATTATTTACGCTGTACCTGCACCAGGAGGATGCGACTGTGCCCTCAGGAGGTCGTGATGTAGACGGTGATAAGATGGGTGGAAGCATTGATGTAGACGACAGGGATGACACGGACGATGACGACGTGAGCGGGGCTGAAGTTCGACCTTGTCTTAGTGTGGCGTCGTTTCTTGCCCAGCCCCCGCTGCAGCGGCCAGACAACTGGCGCGAACTCTTTTTGGAGGGGAAGGTGGCACCTTTGTTCGTCCCCCGCCTCTTCGCCGCCGACGATTTGCGGTACTTTCCTCATGCAATGACAGCCATGGGAGACAGTGCTGTGGAGCAACAGCGTGTGCTGCGTGAACAAATACGGAGAAAAAACAGTTTTGCGCACCTCCGCGAGGGCGAAGGTGACAATCGGACGATCGCTTGCAGAAGCCCCCAGCGAGGCAAGCGCCACTTGCTGCATTCGGAACTCGTAGTGAGTGAGGAAGACGAGGATGTTGGGCTCGTGCCACAGTCGCAGCCACAGCGAGACTATTTATGGGTGCCAGTGGGAGGGAAGAAAGGGTTGGTGCGCGCATATGAGGAAGCTTCATCGGGGGAAAAATCTCACATCAGTCCGGTGTCCCGGCCGCGTGTCATTTTTACTGCCTCCTCACCTCCGAGTCTTGGGGGGTCCCTCGTCCAGTCCCCGTCGCTGTTGACAAAGTCACGTGATAGGTCACGTACCAGGGTGTGGTGTAGTGTGGCGGAGGGGGAATCTGCCACGGACCCACTGGATGAATCACCGCACCGTCTTGCCTTGTCGGCCCCGTACTTGTCATGTTCCGCGTCCGCGGCAGAAACAGCAACCACACCCGAAATCGCAACGGGAACGGCGTTGGCGGAAACGAAGTCTCTTACCACTTCTCATGTTGCATCCTCGGAAGCCGCGAAATCACAGGATGTCTCCCCCCAGCAGCCGCAGCCAATCACGAGTGAAGAGCAGGCAGCTGCATCAAAAGGATTTTCATCCGCAGCAGCATCACCAAGGAAACTTTCGACCCCAGTCGCGTTTGCTCCTTTGTCGGCAGAGTTGGAAGGAACCCCATTGCGGGTATCGTCTCACTCAAGCACTGAATATGACGACAGTCAACTTAATTCATTGGACACGAATGCGGATGAGGCATTGGGGACACTTCGTGGGATTGCGTACGATGTGGAGGATTATGTTCCCGGTCCGGCAGCATGGAAGGGACTGCTTTTGAGAAGCAACACCGGTATTCCAACCGGAGAGGTAAGTAAAAACGCTGGAGTTCAGACTCGTTTGCCCCACGTGGCGCGTCAGACGTTAGATGTGGCCTCACAATCTCCTCTTCAACAGCGTAGCGCCGGCGCGGAGGTGCCGTCAGACGACAATCGGCAGTCTCATGGGCGCGTTTCACGTGAAGCAGCCATGTCTGAGAGTCCCACGATGCCGTCTCCCCCACTAGGCAGTGGCCATGCAAGCAAAGAGGGTCACCCCGCGGCGACCGCGCACCCCACAGCACTCCTCCCAGTGTTTTCTCCGCACCTGGACACCGACACCGGCACCGCCTCACCAAGGTCGCCAAGTCCGCGGGAAGCTGCAGACAGTACCTGTTTCACGCAGGACGTGCATCCGCTCCCACGCTTTAGCCTTGTTGAGGTGGAGGAGATGCGTCCGACGTATGACTCGATTGGGGAGCGCCTCGTCCCTTCTACGCCTGAGGGGTCCTCGTCCGTCGGAGGCGGTGGTGGTGTGCAGCATTATTTGGGCTTCACATTCGACTCACGCGGCTGCAACACCTTTCTCATGGAAGGTGCAGCCAATGGCGGTACTGGCGGGAAATGGGTCACTTGAAGGGACTTCTATTGGAAACTGCAAAAATAGGGTTACAAGGGGGATGCATCAGCCTGGAGAGGAAACTGACGAGCTAGGAAGAAGCAAAACGCAGAAGAATTGTGTGTCGTTTGTTCACATCTCTGGAGCGCGGACAAACACGCAAGCGAGTGCAAGAGTAGCTGTGGTGGTTTAGTGGCCATATGCGCTTACATGCTGCTCTCTGCTCCTCTGCTCATATCTACGAGCATGATTTAAAGAGAACGACGAAGAATAAAAAAAGACGTGTGAGGGAAAAAAACGGAGGGTTATTTCTTCCGCTCTGGCACACACATATATATATATATATATATGTTCTGCGTGTGCTTTGCTGACTCTCTGGAAATGTATGTTTCTGCCACGAGTGTATCCACCAAGGTAGGTGTCTTTTTCTGCATCCCCACTTAACCACTGTCTTGTCGTTTTTTTCCTTCACTTTTTTTTGTCCCCTTCCCCTTCCCGTTTTGTTTTTACGTGTTGTTGAGTTTTTTTTTTTTGACACGTTTTGTTCCTGTTGTTTTTTGGTGCCTGTTTTTGCCCTTTTGTGCATTACATTTTCACCGCAGTTCTTTTTTTTTTTTCGCTGTTGTTCTTCAACGAGGGCTTGTTTTAGTGGAATGCTCCTCGTTTTATCTTTAGTTTTTATATAAATGTGTACGCCATTGATTTTGCCTCCTTGTCACCTCACGATGTTGACAAGCCTTTCTCTCTCTCTCTGTGTGTGTGTGTCTGTGTGTTATTTCTCTTGACAGTGTGTTTTTTTTGCTTTTTTTTCGTTTCTGTGTGGGTGTTTGCTGCGCGGTGCGCATTAAACCACCGTCAATGCAGCCGGTTGAGGAAGCCGAAGTAATGATGAGAAGGGGTCCATGACTGTGTTTTATACTTCACAATGGATATGCACCAAAATCCGTGGATATCTGAGTTTTTTTCTCTTTTCTTTTCTGCGCGTATGTATATCTATGCTGGTTTTTGGCCTTCCTGGGCGTCTTTGTTGGCGTGACTGCCTTTGTTGATGTGCGCAGGTGAGTGCTCTTGCTGTGCGTGCGGCACCAGCGCTGTCCACCACGAGGTTTGCTGCTGCCAATGGCAATACCCCCCGCATTCAACGGTGTCAGCACTCACACACTTCCACACATACGAAGTGTGGGCGCCGACGAAAAAAAAAAAGGAGCGGGGGGGGGGTGGACAAGCACGCAAGAAGGCAAATAAAAAAAGAATGGGAGGTCAAGGGTGAGAGCTTTGAGGATTCACGGTACTTGTCTCAAGTCCCCGCTCTTGCCGCCGTTTTTGTTCTGTTTGTTTTTTCTGTTCCATCCTTTACGTGGTGCGGATTGCGTTGCTCTGGCTGCGGTGTATGCTCTTATTGGGGCATTTCTTTCCTCCGGATTTCTTTCTTTTTCTTTCTTCACTACATATACGGAGAGACACAGAACCCCACGTACGTCCACATATATACATAGTTTGAGATATATGTATACATGTACATTGGTGCGGTGTTCACTGTGGAGATGTAGAAATAACTCTTATTGCTTCTCTTGTTCTTCTTTTGCTGTTGTTTTTTTTCTATTGTTTCAGTGTATCTGTGTTCACCCCTGTCCCTTCCCCTTTTTTTTTTTTGCATCTGTGCTCTCGACGTTGAAGGAGTGAATCAGTTATTCTATTGCGGTGAAAAGCTCAATTATTGAAGCTTGCACTCTCTTGCATAACTGCATTCTTTATCGCCGAAGCCGCTTTCTTTCTTTCCCTCTCTGTGTGTGCGTTTCTCAGTAGTGTTGAGGCATGTACTGTTACTACGAGCCCTGCGACTGCTGTGGCTTTTCCTGCTGCCTATTTTCTTCGTTGTTGTTGTTGTGAGGGGGGGGGGTTGTGCATTGCAGGCGGGAACTGCAGGAAGGGAGATGGGGGTAATCTGTTGCAGCGTGGCGCCAGTTTTTCTTTTTTTGAGTTTTTTTATTCTTCTTTCGTTGCTTCTACTCGCTCGGGTGCGGTGGGTGCATGGGGCGGGGCCGCAAGGGGGGTTAGTGAAACACACGGGCAGCAGGTGAAGGACGTGAGGGTGAGAGGCGGCGCGGCGAGCGATGGTGGCCCCGGTGGTTAGTTTCTTGGACGCCATCCGCAGCCGCTACGGCTCAACCGACGAGGGTGACGCCCAAGACGCTGACGCCCTGCTCGTCGGGGACCCAAGCCGCCACCGCAACAAGAAGTGGGAGCTTGTTGGCATGGAGAAAACGCGGCTGAAGCAGGCAGACCACACGCGCCTTGTCCACGTCGTGCTTCGTGGCATGAGCATCACAACCGGCGAGCGGAGCGAGGGTGAGCTGGCAGCGGCGGCGCTGAACCGCCTGCAGGAAGTTGACATTGCCGCGAATCCGCTGCTGCCGATGCGGGAGGTGGGCACCATTGTTCGCCACCTCCCCGCCCTGACCGTTCTGCAGCTGTCGGACAACCCCGACCTCCTCCCTGGGGGGGCCGCGGCCACGGCACGGACGGCAACGCCGCTGCTGGTGTCAGCGCAGCTGCGAAAGTTGGTGCTTCACAATGTTGGTTTTCGCTCCATATGGCAGCTCCGGGCACTTGTGGATCTCCCCGCGCTTGAGGAGCTGCACCTTGAGAATAACAACATTCAGCGTCTCAGACTCGTGTCGGAGGCGGAGGAAACATCGCCGGGATACCCTCAAGCGAATGCGGTGGGCGCCGACGACGGAAGTCGCTGCTGGTTCCCGAACGTCACGACGCTCAACCTTGCGGAGAATGAGTTGTCCTCGTGGGGTCGTGAGAGTGGACTCAATGAGACCTTGACGACGGCGTTCCCGCGGGTGACGCAGCTATTTTTAACGGCAAACCGCATGCCCAATTTGGACGACGAGAAGTTCACAGCAACAGGGGGCTCCGCCGCTACCACTGCTGTCGACGACGACGACGACGACTACGCGTACCTGCGTCCCCTGGAATTGCTCAGTGTGAAGGACAACACGACCATCAATGACCCACGTACGCTTGAGGCACTGCGAAAGTTGTGTCCCCATCTGCACACGTTCCGCATCACATACAGTGCTATGTTTCCGCAGTGGAATGAAACGCTTGGGCGCATGTACGTGGTTGCGTCCTTGCCAGGCATCACGACACTTAACCGGGGGATAGTGCGGCCCAAGGAGCGGCTCGACTCCGAGATCTTTTACGTCCAACGGGGTTTGGCCGCCAAGCAGCAGGAGGAGGAGCGGAAAGTTGAAGACCAAAAACAGGCGCAGTGGAGGGAACCAGAGAAGGCGGGGTTGGCGCCGCGCTTTCCCCTCCTGGAAACCCTGCGAGAAAAACACAAGCAAGTTATTATGTCCATTTACCGCGAGGGAGAGACGGCAAGCCACGACGGCATCAGCCAAATGATGCTTCGCCTCACGCTTCGCTGTGATGGATTTGAGCCGGTAACGAAGTCCATACCAAGTTCAATGACTGTAGGGAAACTCAAGGCACTCGTGCGTGCCGTTTTTGGCGTTGTCCCGTCGTATCAACGGCTGTCCTTCTTTTCAGGCGATGCAGCCGTGGTGGAGCGCCCCATGGAGCTTGATAACGAATTACAGAGCCTTGCATTCTACGGCGTATCTGACGGCGCGCTGGTGCAGGTGGTTGACACATCTTTGCGGTAATCGCGCTTGCGCCCTCCCACCGCAGCATAAATCTGGGTCACAATATTCCTTCCCTTTGCCCCCTTCCTTGTGTGGCCCGGGCATGCGCTAACCTCTTTACTTTACGTCTTCTGCATATTTGCCTTCTTTGTGTTGGCGTTTGTTGCTGTTGAAGTGCTCAGCCTGCTGCCTCACACTCCTACATAAGGCTAATTTGTTTTATCTGCTTCTCCTTTTTTTACATTTTATTTTATTTTCTCTCGCCTTTTCTTTCCTTCGCCTCCCCATGCGTTGCCGTTCATTCAGGAAGCAGCGGTTTTGTCGCCTTTGGTTGATTTTGATTATTTATTTGGTTTAGGCGGCACGAGCTCGCATGCGACGCGTCGTGGCGCGTGCTCTTCTATCGGCGCGGCGCACACCGTGTGGGGTTGCCGCTCCGTTCGGCACAAGCCACCCGCGTCTGCGGGACGTCAGTGTTCCGTGGAGTGTGGCGGGGGGCGGCGACACGCGGGGCGATGGCGTCGCGGCGTTACGGCGTCCCCAGCGCAGTGGGAACCCAAAGGGCGGCACCCACAGCAACATTGGTCCTGTAAAAGATCGTTTCCCGCCTGTTTTGACGGACCTGAGCGACCCAAGGAGGCGGCTGGCCGTTCTCGTGGACGCCTCAAGTGTCGAGCCACGCGTCTTCTACAACACGATCCTTCCCGCCGCCAAAAAGGTAGGAGTGCCGGTGCTTGTGCGCACATTCGCAGTGCAGCTAAGTAGTGAGTGGGAGTCACATCTATCCGGCAGCGGGGCAACGAAAAAGCTTGACCGGGACCTGAACAGCAGCGCCGAGGCGGAAGCCGCAGATATGCCGGAAATAGTCAACGGGGGGGAGGAGCGGACAATTGGAAACACATCCTTGTACACACCCATAGAGTTTTTTCGCGTGGAGCGGTTTATACCGGTGTCGATGCAGATGGAAGCTGATGCGAACCACATTTTTGACTTTCGCCGCCAAAATAAGATCGAGGCCGTGTGTTTTGTTTGCAGTGAAGTTGACCGGGGCGTGTTTGAGGGATTTCTGCCGAACATTGCCGGCAATGGCTTCAATCAGTACGTGCTGGACGAGCTCGGCATGGCGAGGGAGGTACTCGAGGATGGCCGCTCAGCCGATGGCTCTCCATGATGGCTGCAGCGCGGAGGCGGCGGCGCAGTGGGGACCACGAAGTTGCAGGCGTTGCCACAGTGCGGATACAAGCAGCAAATTAAATTTGAACGGAAAAAAAAAGAAATGAAAAGGAAAGAAAGAGCTTCTCACTAACTTCGGTTGGACCACTTCATGTGTGTGTGTGTGTCAAAGTGGGGAGGGGAGGGGAGAGAAGGGGAGGGTTAACCCAGAGAATGGTACGAGCAAGGAGAGGAGGAATATGGCGCCGGGATTCCCCCCACTGCGGCGGCGTTGCTGCGTATCGCAGGTGCGTTTTGCTACTTTCCCTTCCACGCCTTTCTCTGCGCTGCCGCCAGCTCCTCAACTTGTTTTGTGCCTCCCCCCCCCCCCCCTGCGCGTATACGTGTGTCTTTCTCCCTCATGTGACGGACTGTTTCCGGTGTTGTACGATCTTAACACCTGTGCGTTGGTTCCGTCCTGCTGCTTCTCGAAGGAAAAAAAAAGGAGAAGGTTGGGGAGGGGTAGACAAACAACAAGAAGAAGAAGAAAAAAAGTTTCCTTCTTGACGCTGCGAGGGAAGGGAAGATCATGGGCTTTGTCGATCGCGGCGGTGGCCGTGAGGCGAAGGGCGCAAGTTTGCGGCGCTCCAAAAAAAATCCCGGGGCGGCTGCCGCACGGAAAGCCTCGGCAACGAAGCAACAGCAGCAGCCGACCACGCGGGTGCCACCCACGCCACCGCCTTTTTTGCAGGGGCGGCAACACATTGATGCGGCTGTGGCAATCCTCGCCCGGCGGCTTGAGGTGGACCGGGACGCACTGATGGGGCGTGCGGCGCAGGAAAGTGGGGTGGCCGCCGCCTTGACTTGGTGCGTAGACTTTGGCCGTCAAGAGGCTCTCATTGAGTTTTGTCGACAACACAATACCACCGCCAGCGCCGCATCTGCGGAGGGCGATGGCAGGCTCTACTGCTTAGTGGGCGTGCATGTAAACAATGTGGATCGAATGCACAAGAAACAACAAGAAACCTGGGTGGAGAGCGTGGCTTCGTGGGGGAAGCACCCGGAGGTCTTGGGGGTTTTGTCCGGGCTCAATTTGTATCGTGATAGCGGGACCCACTTCGCCCAGGAGTGGCTTCTGGAGCAGCTCTGGCGTGTTGCAGGCTCGCTGCAGGTCCCACTTGTGCTGCACCTTTGCCACGACAGTGATGCGGGTGAAGGAAGTGTTGGTGCGGCGAGTTATAACTTGACAGTGGAACGATCCGCGGAGTTACTTGCTGAGCTAATTACACGTGACGAGGACAACGTGGACGCGAAGGGCGAAGGCGCGCGAAGGCAGCAGAGGCAGAAGCCTACGGCCATCGTGATTTACAATGGCTTGGGAGCCGTTGCCACTTCCGCAGCGCTGCGGACGCTCGTAAGGCGTCACGCCCCGGCGCCCAAGTCATCATCCGCGGCGGACGCGGAAACGACGACTGCCTCAGGCGCAGTTGCGGCACCACCGCCGTCGCCGCCCATTTATATACTCCTAACGGCTCATGGACTCACGGGAAATGGCAGCCTCCCTATCGCTGGGAATGGGGATGCTGAAGCGGGTGACGCAGCTGCGTATAACCCGTTATTTGTTGATACGCTTCGCAATCACGTGTCGCCGTCGCAGATTCTTATCGGCACGGGTTCACCGTGGAACACCCCTCAGAATATACCGGATGCGCACGTGCGCACGCTACCCAATGAGCCCGCAAACTACAAGCACGTTGTTTCTGCTATCGCAGCCGCCCTCACGGGTGAAGCCAAGGAGCAATCGGGGACATTGCAGGGGCTCTACGCGACGGCACAGGAGAACTTTCTTCGGCTTTTCTTCAGCTCGGAAAGTTCTTCGCAGGCCAACGAGACAGAAAAGGAAAAAGATGAAGAGGATGCATCCGGCGAAGTGGAGGCGCGTAGTGCTGGGGCTGACAGCACACGCCAAGCGCGAGCTGTTCACTTTGGCCCTGCAGTTGGCACCTCAAAAGATGTACTGCGGGTGGCGCCGGATTCTGTGCGCTATTATTTGTGCCTCAAATGCCGCCGAAGGCTGTTTCATGAACACCAAGTCTTGACCCACTCACCGGACGCTGCCCAGGAACATTTTGGCGCGCGTCACGCGCGCTGCGATATGAACTCCAGCAAGGTGTCAACAGTGGGGGCCTCCTGTGAGACAGTCTGCTTCTTGCCGCTCCTTCACGGCCCAAGCGGCGAGTGGAGTGTGGCGGAGAGCGGGGTGGAGGTGAGCAAACTGAACGGCACCGCTACCTGTGGTGGCTGCGGGGCGAAAATTGGAACTGCGGGCAAAGACGTTTGTTGTCCGTGCGGCTGCATCATTTCGGGTTTGACGGCGCGTCTGGCGGCCTCTAAACTTGAAGCACCAGTGCAACGTGGCGTCAGCGGGGGTCTGGAGGAGCTTCTTCTGCAGGCGGCGCGGGAGCGGGAGCAGCTACTTCAGGAAGAACTTGAGGCTGCACAGCGAGGCGGTGTTGAGGAGGGTGGTGAAAAGAAGAGGAAGGAACCAAAGAAAAATGTGAAGGCGAACAACCGCTCTAACTTTACGCATTTCCGGAACAAGAACTTTGCGCCGCGGCAGCAGTCAGAGAGCGAGAAGGTATCAGGCGGTGGGGGTGGCGCCAGGGGCCACAGGGAACAATGAGGCTGGGGAGGAAGAGGCAGAGGCAGAGGAATTGTTAAACCCGCAGCAGGCGAGTCGCCGCAAAAGCAGGTGTCGAAGAGCAGGACTGGAAGACGATTCACCCACAGCCTCTGCACGGCTAATGGCGCATTAAAACAAACGAATGGGGAGAAGTAAAATAATAATAAGGAAAGAGTGAGAAAAGGCAGGTTGTGTGGCTTTTAGTTAGTTGCACCCGACTTCTGGTACCTGAGATGAAAAGTGGATAAAGGGGTGGGAAGCGGTGTTATTGACTGTATCGTTTTTCTTTTTTTTTTTTTTTGGGGGGGGGATTTGGCCTCTGGGATCGTTCTGCGGCCCCTTCAAGGAATACGCTGGGTCTCCCAATACCTGAGTTTAAGCAGAAGGATGCCGGTGGAGAAGGGGCAGAATGCGGCGGCGGCGGGGTCGGCCAAGACCCCGGGGTGTAAGATATGCTGCGCGTGCCCCACAGAGCGCAGGAGGCGCGACGAATGCGTCATCCTAAAAGGCGTTGACGCCTGTAAGGGCGAAGTCGAGGCATTCTATGCCTGCCTTCTCCGGGAAGGTTTTAGTGAAGAGGACGTGAATGGCCTGCGGAAAGCCGCGCGGAATGCATAGTGAAAAAATCAAGGGTTAAAAACATGGGGTAATTCTATTACTCGCTTGGTTTTTTTGTTTGGTTTTATTCTCATGCGCCGAGGAAAGTTGCGTCTCATGCCGTGGTGTCAACTGAAACGCGGAGGTGGACGCGTTGTGGGATAAGCCAGAAGGAAATGCGTTGCTGGCCGTCGTTGTTTCGTCGCCGGAAGTGTTGCCCTACCTCTCTTTGCTTTCTTCTTGCTGTGGTTCTGTCTGCTGCTGTTTTCTTTATTTGCCCTTGCCTACTTGTTTCCTCGTGGATCTCGTCGCTCGGACGCCGCCTGAAAGGAAACTAGGAGTGCGCCTCGGCGTTTGCTCTCTCTCTCTCTCTCTCTATCCCCTCCACGGCAGCGTGTTGTGCACCAGTGTAGCGAGGGGGCGTGAATGAGAGGCCAGGAGCCGGATGAAGGAATGTCGCGGGACACCACGACTAATTCCAAATTCGGCGGGACGAATGAGAGGGATTTTGCGCAGACGCAGGCCGCGGAGGCGTCCGACACCTCGCCTCGTCGCGGGAAGAAGCGATACAACGTGACGGTGTTCCCCCACTTCCGCGATCGTCTTGCGTGTGACCCGTTGAATTTCTTCTGTGTGTACGCGAATCACGACTACAGGTGGAGCGATACCGCCGCGGAGGCGGAACGAAGCATCTTTGCCCTTGTCGACTCCATGGTGGCCGCCGTCCGCAAGGCCTTTAACGAGGCCCTACAACGCTTCAGACATATGCCGACCTTTGTGCAGCAGGCACATGCACTTCGCTGCGTCATTGCAATTCCAGCGGCGCCCATGGCGAGCACAATGTTGCATCTGTACTCGCATGGGGAGGGTGTTGCGCACCATCTAATGTGGCGCAAAAGTGCGGCGTCCTTTTCCTCCACGCTTCCCGTTGCCGGCTCACGTAACGATGTGAACGCCACTTCCAGTAGCAGTGTTGGACGAAGTACGTATTCACGCGGGATATCGCAGCGCGCCGCCCCCCGTGACCGAACCGAGGAGGAAGACGAGTCCATTCTAAAGAGTCTTCTGCAGCAGTGGGACCCACCTCAGAATGGCCCAAAGTGCCGTATTGTGCTGGACATCATTGCATCACGCAAAACCCTCGGTGACGACCCACCCAACAGCGAGCCTTATAGGCTGGGACAGAAAGTCTTTGGCTTTGTCAAGAGGAAGTACCCGCAGGAGGTTATGACCATCTTCGTGGGTATCAGCGACAGCGGCGTGACGCTTGTTGGCAGAGATATTCTTTACCCGTTCCGTATTACTGGCGCTGCGGGGTCAAAGCCGAATACGACGGCCACCGCTCTTGAAGGTATTCGAAGCAATTTAGCTGGCACACTCGCTTCCACGTCCCCATTTGCCTCCGTGGATGCGTTGGGGGTGGCAGCATCTAGTAATGTGGCGGCGATGATTTCAGGACTCGAGCAGGTGCTGGTAAGCACCGTTCCCGCACCGCGGATGGTGACAGCACCGCCTGCGAACACTGACAAGGTGGACAACGTGAGGTTAGTTGTGTGCTTCCCGCCGGCGGATATCACAGGTAGCGTGGCGTAATATTTTGGGGCCAAGAGAACTCTTCATCTTTTTTTTTTGTGGTTCCTTACCATTGCACCTGTCTGAGCGCTTTTTGTTACCCTGTTGTTTTCATTGATGTGGAAAGCAATGTACAAAAGAAGTTATTTTGTTGTTCTTGCCGCTTCCATTGAGACTCTTTTTTTTCATGCACCCTTCCCCCCCCCCCCACCACCACTTTCACACATTTTGTGCCTGCGTGTCTGAGTAGTATTTTGTAGTATTCGGCTCTGAATGGGCGGCGGCGTGGGAGGGGAGGTGGGAGAGGGAGCCTTCTACAAAACTAAAGGCAATGATTTCTTCTGGGGAAAAAATATTCCGCCGTGACGTTGTCTGTGAGTATTTGTTGTTGCCCACTATGTGTGTATGTGTGTGTCATCCTGCTTTTTTCTTGCTTGGCTGCCTCGGTGCATGAAAAGGGGGAGGAGGGAGGCATGCGTGTGGCCGGCTGCGCGCGGATAAATGGTCCCTTCCTGTTAAACGCTTCGGTTGCGCTGCGTGCCTCGGCGCGATGCCTGTCGTTGTCTGAGTTGGCAAAAGTGTTTGCGGAGATGAGTGAGCCGAGCACGGCACCAGCGGCAACCGGAGCTGCCGCCGCCGCTGCCTCTGCTGGCGCAGCGCAGCGGGAGAACGCCGCCAGCATGAACATTGGCGCGTTACCGCCCGGCGACCACGAGGTCAGCCGGTCGATTGAAACGAAGGGGTCGGGCTTAAAGAGTAGCCGTGGTAGCTTTGATAGCGGGGTCGTCACATTCTCGCCGGCGTACACCAAGACCCTCCGTGACATGTCCGGCACACAGCTTGCCTTGGCCTTGGAAAAGGAGTCTAAACAGCAGCATCTCGGACATATGATGCAGTGCCTTGCGGAGGTGTGGCGTCGATTGCGTGCGGCGTCGTTGATGGGGGTTGCCATCACGGAGGAAGAGGCACGTGGTGAGGTGGAAAATAACGGTTGGTCGGTTTCCCTGTTCCGCAGCGATGACGTGTTGGAGTCCGTGCTACGTTTGTTTGCCAAGACGAACCTGGATGAGGTGCAGCAGAGCCATCGACTCTTCAGGGAGCTTCGTGACGAAGGTGTCGGTGAGGAGTGGGTAACGGAGCTTGGGTGCCTGCTCATACAGTGGCTCACTGACCGCGCCGCCTCACTTAGCCCTTTTCGCAGTGTAACTTTTTTGCATCTTATTGCGCAACAAAAGGTGTTTCACTCGGACGCCGTTTTGCAGACATTGCGTGATAACGTTGAGGTGCACATTGCCAGGGACGCCGGCCGACACACAAGAAGTGCCTCCTCCAACGCCTCCTCGCCTTTCAGTGTTTCTGCTGACGGCGCCGGTGCGTTTGACCTCAGTGTTTTTGCCATGCTGTTGGACGCGATGGCTCGGTGGCAGCTCGGGTGTGTGCGGCTCCTTGGGAGTGATGCGGCGGTGCCGCCGAACCGATTTCATGAGGGGAGCAACGTGACGGCGACGATAACGAGGCTGCAGCACCCCATACTCGATGTCGCCTTCTATGAAGTGGTGGTGGGCAGGCTGCTGCTGGGAGTACGTGAGGGCTCGCTACACCTCACACGTCATGGATCGCCGTCGACGTTCTTCTTCCTGGCCTTGGCGCTGGCAAAGATCCGCTGGTTCCGTCCCGACTGTGCTGAGGTGCTGCTGCCGCAGCTTCACGAGGCCTTGCGCGTGTTCCCCGGCCAATATCTCGGGGTCGTCTTGCTGCTGGGGCGGCGCGAGGTGAAGGTGTGCAGCGTCGCAACCACAGAGCTGCTTCTGCAAACGCTAATTGACACGATGCAGAAACGCGGGCAGCGCTACATCCCAGCGGACGGGCGTAAACGTCACGGCCCCGACGGCGTTGTCCTTTCAACACCTGCCGCCCCCCTGCAAGGCACGGATGCCTCTTCGTGGGTCGCGATGGGCTGTGCCCACGAAGAGGATGTTTCCACGGCAGTGGCCACTCCAGATGTGGACGCCGACGAGGACGATTTGCAGCTCTTCTCTGCATCCTCGCCTGTAGGCTCTGTACGGGGCAAGGGTGTCATGCAGGTCTCTGCAAACAATGCAGTGAAGTCGGGTGTTTCATCGCAAACCTCGTCTGCTGCGTTTACGACAAGTTTCATGGATCTCCGCTCCGTGCCCCTCTTTCTTGACAGCCTCAATCACATTTTGACGACCACGCTTGAGCACTGCAGCGTACAGGGGAAAACGGCTCAGCTAGAGGCACTCAATGCGAAGGCGGAAACCCTTTACGAGGCACTACTGAATGACACGCATGGTGGAGTAAAGTCGCTCCACACGTTGCAAGAGCGCCCTGCTCTGTCTGAGAAGCTCCTCGCAGCGGTGCTGCGTATACCACGCAAGACGCATCACCCGCTTCTTATTGAGCTCGCCTACGTCTTTACACGACACGTCGGCGTGCGACATGTGGCGTCACAGGATAGCAGCAAAGCCACCCTTCTTGCCTCACATTGGCAGTGGCGCACACTAACGCTTGTTGACCTCTTAGTACGGCGTGGCGTTATCCTGCCAGACACGTATGTCATGACGGACGCGGTGATCCAGTTGGCTCCGCGGGTGCTTTCGGCGGTGGAGGCGGAGAAGCGGCGTCTCTTGGAGCTTCATCACGAGTCCCAGAAGCGACAAGAAAAACAACAGGGACGGGAGAAGAAGCGGAAGCAGAAGAAAACAGTCCGAACGTCGGCGGTGTTTGCGAAATTCTCGCGCACCGTGGTGCAGATGAAGCAGCAAATGTGACTGCCGAAGAAGAGAGGGAGGGAGTGGGGAAGTGGGGTGATGGACGCCTCAGTAGGCGTGAGTCCCAACTTCGTCGTTGCATTTGTCGTTATATGTGGTGGGGTTTGTGGCTCTTGTCGCCGCCGCTGGCGTGACAGGCAAGCCCCCACTGGGAGCACTGGGACCGAGAAATCTGAATAGCGAGACCGAAGTGCGGACAAAACGGAGGTGCATTTTTCTTGATTATCACCATTATTATTATTATTTTTTCTTTTTTTGCGCTGCTGATCGCGCACTCCGCATTTGGCATTCTCTGCCTTGAACGATCTTGAATGTGTCCCGCGCCGCTTCTTTTCGTCACTCCCTCTCTTCTTCTTTTTCTTCCTGCTTCGTCTGCGCTGGGCGGAGTTCCCAGCTTTAGGTTTCCCGGTCATCCGCCTCTTTCTCTCTCCGCCCGCCCAGCGTCCCGGTAGCGAGCACCACCACTGCGAGCGCGCGGCGTCCACAGGTTGGTGGAACTGTGGCAATGGAGAAAGTAAAGCGGCACCTCACGAGTTGTGGGGCAGCTTACATCATCCCTAAAATCTCCGAGTTTTCCACAAGCTGTGCCACATCCGAGCTTGCTGCCCAGCAGCTTGCTTGCATCCCTGCTATGATCGCCAAGAGCCTCAGTTTCACGCTTGCGTGGAAGAAGGGAGGCGGGGTTCCTATTCCCATCCTCATACTCGCCTCGGGGGATGCAAAGGTGAGCAACGATAAGTACCGCTCCAAGTTTGGCTGTCGTCCCGTGATGATTAAGCGTGAGGAGGTTGAGGAAATCGTTGGGTTTGCCCCGGGCGGAGTGTGCCCGTTCGGCGTGAAGGAAAATGTGCGGGTCTACCTGGACGTCTCGCTGCGCCGCTTCGAGACCGTGCACGTGGCAGCCGGCTCGGCGAACAGCACTGCCCCAGTGAGCATCAGCGAGCTGGAGCGCTTCTCTGGCTTTGTTGAGTGGATTGACGTTTGCGATGGGTGGGCGGAGCAAAAAGAAAAAATGAATGATGATGCTGCGGCCCCGCTATGTTCTTGACTGTGAAGAAAAAAAAACATGAATAAAAACAGTCTCGGCTCCCAGCACAGACACACACACACACACACAAGGGCAGAAAAGTACATGTACCCAAAGAGGTTGGGGTCTGAGGCCCGGTGTTCCACTATATATTATTTTCTTTTTTACCGTTGTTTTGGTTGTTGTTGTAGTTTTTTTTTTGTTTCTGTGTAGCTTCTTTTTTTCTGTCCCACCGATTTCCGCTCTTCTGTGGGAAGCTTTGTAGCAGTAAGGCAGGCCAAATGATACTTGCTAGTTGCTTCTGCGTTACTGTCTTCAGTTCAGGTGTAGTTCTTTTCATTTGTCCCTCCCTCCCTCCCAACGCCTCCACTGCGGCAGTGCATGGCGCCGCCCGTGAGGGCAAATCAAGCGACAGCAGTTTCTACCTCTCACTGTCTCCTTCCGTGAATGCACGAGTGAGCGAAAGAGAGAGAGAAAGGGAGGGGAGCGTTGGGTCGTGCCGCCTGAACTTATTCTGGGCACGGCGCGGGCTTTATGCGGGTGAGGTGGCGCTTACTCTTGCGGTGGGTGGACTCCGTGCCTCCCTCAACATTGAGGCAAACGAGCAAACAAAAAAATAAAGAAGAAAAGTTTTTCTTGCGATCCTCAGTCCCACCGAACATAAAATTGCTGACAAAACAAAAGTTGTTCGTGCAGGTCTGCGTGTTTGTGTTTTGCTTTCCAGTTTTTCTTTTTGTCCCTTTCTCTCTTTGCGCTCGGCATACACACTTTTATGCACATACATATATATATATATATATTTATTTATTTATGCATTTATTTCGATATGTGTGTTTTTCTTTTTGTTGAAAGTCTTAGTTAGTTAGTTTTTTTTGTTTTCTCTTTGCCGTCGCCTGCATGCGCACATCAGACCTGCAGCGCCTACAGCGCTTGTTTGCTTACTTCAAAAAAAACACGAGCAAAGCGTTGGAGGGTTGTTGTGCGTTAGTTGAGCTCATTGATGAGGACGATTTAACCAACTGGTACGTGCTGCTGAAGTACGAGGATGAAAACAAGAAGGAGTTCTTCGTTTCTCTGCGCTTCTACTTCTTTGAGGAGTTGCACCGTATGCCGCTTGTCTTTGTGATCGCCCCGCGGCTCGTGGCGACGTTCATTCACCACGGCGCAATTTGTTCGCTGGAGCTGATGTCGCAGCAGTGGTCGGTAGACGCTGAGGGGGTCGCGCTCCTCATCCGCTCGCTGCACGCCACACTTAACCCGTTCAGCCCTGACAGCAAGGTGACCGTGGATGAACTTGGCAGCGGCAGGAACGGCGGGAACCAACAGCACCGGTTGGCGGCCGCCGAAGCGGAGGACGTCGCCGCTGCTCCCGCCGTCTCTGTCGCGGCGTACACGCGGGACGAGCATGAGTTGGGCATCCGACACATTCGTCAGTCCCATCCGCATCTCTTCCGCGGTTGTGTCCGCAGTGAACTTTCCAAGCAGCAGCAGCAGCAGCAGGGTTCACTGGCGACAACGTCCATGACTAGTAGCACGGTTGCTCCGGACCCCTCCTCCGCTTCCTCCTCCATCGTGGATGCGTGCCACGATGGAAGAGGAATATCAGCACCAGTAAAGAAGGCAATCATTCGTTGCAGGGAAGAACTGCAGCAACTCTTTCTTGCGGGTGGGGTGATGGATGTTCAGCTGGATGTTTGGAGTCACGACTCGTCAGATGGAGGTTGCGGCATGAGCGTTAATGAGCATCTTGTGACGTGTACGCTACCCGCGCTTGGCGGCGCTTTCCCGAGCTACACGATGACGATTGCGCCGTGCCGCGAGAAGAGGAAAAATGAAGCGGCGGCACAGCAAGGGGTTGCCGCGGCCGCACACCCGGAACTTGAAGAATTTACAGAAGAAATCAACGTTGACGTGGCCCTCGACACGCCAAAGGCGGGCGGAAGCGAGGTTGGCTTGACGGCTCCTGCCACGGATTTGTCGCATGCAGGCGGGGCTGCGGATGGCCGAAGACGGGTAAGCCTCCAACCATTCTTCACGTCTAGCGTTGGCGTCGATGATGTAATTCCGGAGGTCAAGCAGGGACATCGCAGTCAACCTCGGGGTAGGAGAAACGTATGCGCCCGTCGACAGGTTGCCGAGGGAGAGCGAGATGGAGGAGTGGCTCTAATTTTGACGGCTGAGGCGAGTGGAGGCACGGAGGGTAGTGGTATTCTTCCGAATACGGAAAGAATTCGGAGGCCGGAGGCCCCTTGCACTATTCCGATGGGTTGCACTCTGCGACTTGAAAACCTCACAGTGTACGGCGCGATCACTGTGCTTGGAACCCTTGAAATGTCTGACTGCACGTTCATTGGTCACTTTTCCACGGAAGGTGAGGGTCGGGCGGAAATTTCGCAGTGCAATGTGTACGTGGACTGTGCAGAAACGCGCAGCGAAGGTATTCTGGTCCTAGATGCCTCAACTTTGGAAATACGGAACAACACGACGGTGCAGCGGAAGGAGCATGCATTCGTAGATGGGGAAGAGTCCCTTTCTGTTAGTCCATTTGCATCGTTTGTGCTACAAGCCTTTATACTGGTTTCTAACAGTGGAAGGCTACGCATACAGGGAGGCTGTCACCTCATGCCGTATGGCACTGAAAAGACAATATTTGCCGAACAAGATGCCTCAGTCGACATTGCCGATTGTAGTATTATGGCAGGCAACAGCAGTGCGGTTAGTATCCTTGGTTGCCATGCTTTTTTTGCCAACACCCGCTTTTACGGATCCGATCGTGTTGAGTTACAGGTCTCCGACCTTAATCGTCTAACCGGGCTTAACGTGGAGTTAGGGGGCCTCGTCACTGCCCGTCATTGTGTGGCGGAGTATCTATACTTTGGCTTTTCGGTGATTGCACACTCCGTTGCTCACTTCTTTGGGTGCCACGCCGAGCATGTTGTGAATGGCTACACCATTGATGCCTCCTCCGTGACGATTGAAAACAGCTCTGCCCGCACCAACCACGTGGGTGTGTTTGTGCTAAATAAGGCGAAGTGCAGCATTAACAACGAAGATGACCACGTCCTTCCGTTTGACGAGCGCTGTTGCCTTTTACTCAAGGCACGTGAAAACGTTGAGCGGCTGCGTAAATTTCGGTGCGGGGAAACACACATGGGCGACGAAGATCCAGAGACGAGTAGTGTCTTTTCCTCCGTCTCCAGCAGCCCGACGGAGCCACCGCAACCACACGCAGCGACAGTAAGCGAAGATGATACGATGGAGCTTTACGCTGTTGAGGCTATTCAGTCTGTTGACATGAATAAGAAGCCTTTCATTCCCAACCTCTTCTCTGGAGCAACAACCACAGCAAATGCGTCCATCTTTCCCCTGTCGTTTAAAGGAGGACTTTTCAGTCTGGAGGTCCGCGATGCCTGCATGGTGGCAAAGGGGATGCTTCTGGCAGACGCACAAGATACTTCCATCTACGTCTACGACCAGGGCACACTTACACTCACCGACGTCATCGTTTGGAAATCATTGGCGTCGTCGCAGCAGCCATGTGGAGTGAAGGTTGTGAATAGCCAAGCGCATGTGCAGCGTTGCTTGGTGGCGGATTACGCATTTGGTTTCGCGGCTATTCAGGGGTCTGCTGTTCGCTTCGAAGACTGTATGGCGGTGGGTGGGACGAATGGATTCACCGTGGATGATGCCCACTGCACCTTGCATCACTGTGGTGCGAACACAGATCACGTCGGCGTCTTCGCCCTCAATCGATCAACGCTGCGGATGGACAACTTGAATGCGGTCAAGTGTAAAGGAGGTTGGCTTTCGTGTGCGTTAAAGGGCCATCTACATGGGTTAGAGAGTCGCTCAAGCGATACAATGTGCGTTGGGGTTACAGTTCAGCGTGGGCTTGACAGCGGGTTTACATGCTACAATGGTGGATGTCTCCGCCTTGAGAAGTGCACCGTTGACATGAGTGCCGCTGCCTCCACCGAAGCCAGCATTGGAGAAGCGTCGCGTCGCAAGTTCTCTTCTTCCGCTGTTGGCCGTTCGGGACTCATCTTTGCTTCCGACCCTGTTGCCGATGCGGCTGAAGGGTGCGATGGGGACTGGAATCGAGGCAAAGTGGGGACTGCATCTGCGGTAAATTTAACTCACGATGACAACTCCGCTGCTTTGCCGTCGTACAGCTCTCAGAAGAACTCTGGTGTGAAGGCCTGGTCGGGAAGTCGCTGCATCGCGATTGGGTGTGAAGTGCGGCACGTAACCTTTGGGTACGCCGCGATTGGTCCTGACACGGAATTGGAGGCCTCTCACTGCACGGCGAAGCATATTGTGAATGGTTTTACCGTGGACAGCGCCAAGTGTAGGCTGTCGCGTTGTAGCACCAACAGCAATCACGTGGGAGTGTTTGTGCTTAGTCATGGAACGTGCAAGGTGCGCCGTGGCAGCTACACAGCTCGCATGTACAGCATTGAGAATCGCAATGGCATTGTGCACATAGAAGGACATGTGAAGCTGAGTGGTTTTTCGCGAATTGGCCTCTACGTTTACGATGGCGCGAGATTGGACACCTTGACAGACAGCATGTTGGATATCAAGGTTCGCAAGGACCCTGCACGGCAGCAGTTGCCTCCAGAGTTAACTCTCACAGGGCCCTCGGCAACTCCGTCTGGGCTCTTCCCCTCATGTTTTGCGATTGATAAGGGCACCGCAGTGATTCACAATGCCTTGTTTGGCGGTGGTGCACAATGTGCTGTGAGTTGCGGGGATGGCGCAAACGTGTATCTGCACCAATGCACGGCAGAGTTTTGCAACGTGGCGTTTAATGCCCTCTCAGGGTCGCAAATGTATCTGTCCGACTGTTATGCCAGACATGTTAGACGTCACGCACTCATTGTTCACCGTGGCGGCGTCTCGCGGGTAAATTGTCAATCACCCGTCTCCTCGACAAGCGGTATTCTGCAGGGAAGACTACAGATTGAGGGAAAGTGCTTTTTGGAGCACGTTCTGCTCCATCCCACCTCGGACCTGGACTGTGAACAAGCTGTCGCCTCCCTGCAGTCCCAGCCACCGCCCCCATCCTCATCCTCGGCAGATCCCGCATCTCCCAGGTCTCTGTCTTTTATACCATCAGCATCTTCAGTTTCTCCCTTGCCGAAGCCAAACGGTCTCATTCGTGTTTCCTGGAATGGGGCGCTGGTGATGGATTGCTGTCTCGTCCTTCTTGAGGAGCAACATCGCGTGGTGGAAGAGGATTTCGGCGGCGGCGACGACGACGACGCGATGGCAAAGTACGTGATTGTGGCGGAAGGCCGCCGGGCCACAGTACGTTTGCGAAATGTTCTTTTTCGGAAGGTACTTACGGCTGCAACCGGTGGTGTGGGGAGCTGTAGCGTCTCGACGAGCTCTCACGGCAGTGTCTTGCTGCCCAACGATGCGCCTGCCAGCAATGCCCCTTGTGGCAGGACAACTTGGTATGGTCTCGTTTTACTGCAGGGGGCAAAAGGTGAAATACATGGCTTTTCCGAGGCATCACTCATTGGCAGTAATGCCTCTTCTATTCCTGGAACAACCGTGGAACACCCACTCGAGACATCGCAGGCGGTGACGCATTACTCTCCCAGAGCGTCTGTGGAAGGTGGCACGGACCGAGTTGCCCTTGTAGACAACCCCAACTCCCCGGTGGCCGATGATTCTCTTGTGCAGAATGTGAAGAAAGGCCCGGGTGCGTTGTCATGTGGCGAATTTGTACCTCTACGTGTTTACATGACCCGGACGTCTTCGTTGGTGACAGAAAATGTGAATCTGCGGCAACTTATTGCTTCTGGCGGGTCAAGTATTGATGCTTCACACTGCTACTTCGCCGGGGCTGAGGCTGTCGTGCTCACTGGCGGCAGCACCTTGCGGGCAGCTGAGAGTCGGTTTGTTAGCGCAGTTCGTGGTCCGGCGATGCGAGTGGAGTACTCCACGGTGCATCTCAACAGGTGTCGTGGCTATTCCATACACAGGGAGGTGGTTGTGGCGAGGAGCGCAACGCTGAACTTTGTTGAGTCTGTGTTTTTCATATTTAACTCCGCAACTAACGCCGCTGCCGGAAAAAACTTCTCCACCGGGGAACGCTGGTTTGAGCTCTCATCAGACAACACTGGGGACAGCGAAAGTGGCAAAGGCGAGGAGGTAATAATTATGCGTCGCCGCGGGTGTCGAAGCTGCGGCGATGATGACGAAAATAGCGGCGACGGCGCCGTGGCGGCAGGTGCGAAACAAGGGGACAGCACGATGTCAAAGACGGCAGCGCCGACGTGCCGGGCGTTGGAAAACACCCCCATTGAACGGTGTGTGGTGGTGCCGTTAATAAGCCCTTTGCTGTCTCACGCCTGTGCTGAGAAAACGCAGTCAGATACCTTGCTGCAGGCCGTTAATTGCCGACAGCCGCACGAGGACGGCAATGTTGATCGGCTTCCAGTTGCCGTGGGGGGCGCCCAGGCGGAATCTCTTCCGGAGAAGTCTTCCGGCGAGGGGGAGGTGGCGGGGCCAACGTGCTGGAGAGGTGAGGCCAGCGGATCCCCTATGCACCGCAACGAAGGTGGTTCCCTGGCTGAGGCAAACTTGGCGTCTCTCGAGCCGGGGGCGCGGCCGTCGCTGGGAAGGAGACACTATTTCAGTGTGCGGCTGGAGCGCTCCTGCCTGTATTGTTGCAGTGTCACAAGCATTGAGGGCGGTATTACAGCCGATGCCTCCAGCAGGATAGAGGCCTGCCACTCCCCATGGTTCTCAGGCATTCTGCGGGCGGCAAGAACAGTGTTTTCCACCGTTTTTGGGGCGTGAGCGCAGTTTTACATTTCTTTGGCCTCGGCGAGAGAGGCGACGCGACAACAATGACGCTTCTCTTCACCTCCAGAAAACACACACACGCGCGAACAAAAAAAAAAGTGTGTGTTGGGGGGTGGGGGGAAGGTCGCGGAAGGGGGCCTGAGGTGACGCAGCGTTTCTTTTTTGTTGTTTACTTTTTTTTACCCCTCCAGTTTGCGGTGGCCCCATTGTGGGTGTGCCGCAGGAGCTTAACGGAGGCGGGGGAGCAAAGACGGAGAAGAGGAAGAAACGAATTAAGGGAAGAGAGGTGAGCGACGCGTGGAGGAGGGTGTGTTTGCCTTTGACCTATAGAGAAGCAGCATACGTACATATATATATATATATATATATATATATTGGTAGTTTCTGCAGCAACAAGGCGAAGCAAACACTTTTTTTTTATCTTGTTTCTTTTCCCATTTATGAAGAACTGGCATCGATACATTGATTCATTTCCCACAGCACAGCAGCAACTGAAGTCCGCGGGCGGGGGAGGCGTTATTGCTGACTTCCGTGGCTTGATAGTTTGCGGCCAAGGAGATTAAATTGATTCCGTTTTTTTTTTTGATTCTTGTTGTCTACTCTTTTCCAACAGGGCGCTGGGGTGAAATGGCCTTCAAGCCGCTAGCGGGTGGTGAAAGCAAGGGGGAGAAACCCCTCCATGGCACTAACGTCTCCTTTTCTTCCACGGCCTCGGCGGAGGGGCGCGGTGGCGCGGCAGTGAGAACGCGAAGAATAGCGAGGGCCTTTGTTTGCTCATCGGTGGTGGCGACGGCAATTTTCGCGGCATCCATGGTTCTTTTTCTGCTTGCGTCAGCAGAGATGTTCAAAAAAAACCGCCCAAGACGCATCTCATTGGCGGCAGGAGACTATTGGTTCGTCTACGAGAAGGTGCAGTTAATTGGGGAAGGCGGAAGCAGGCGGAGCGAAAAAGAAGTTGCGTTGCCTTACAATTTACACCGTGTCACGTGTGTGTGGGAAATACAACCAACTGTTGCAGGTGCAGGAACAAGTGCAACAAAGTCGCAGAGGTCGCTTGTGTTTTTTGTACACGGAAATGCGGGGTCATACACGGATCCCTCTCGACTGAGCTGTGCTATGTCTCGAGAGGCCAACTTTAAAGGAGAGCTGTATGCGTTTGATTTTCTGCATCAGGCGAACATTCACCGTGGTAAGCTACTTCAGCAGCAGGCGGCATTTGTCGCCGAGACGCTAGCGTCACTGCAAAGAAGGAGTGTACTGAAGCGTCTTACGGACAACACAGTTCTGCACGGGGCAGAGACGCTGAAAAGCAGAGCTACGCCTGAGAACCAAGACGGCGCAATTTCTATATGGATTGTCGGTCACTCTATGGGTGGTGTGGTTGCACGTCTGGCGGTGGAGATGCTGCGGAGTTCGGGAAGCTCTATTTTTATTGAAAGCATCATCACGCTCAACTCGCCGCATCGATTTCCTCCCATTTTTTTAGATAATTCCATGTTGAGCGTCTACAAGACCCTCTGGCAGCCGCCTTATAAGAACTCAGCGCTAAACCTGTCGCGACGTCACTCACCGCGTTTCTACTCTGTCACCTCAGGCGCATTGGACCTTCAGGTGGAGCCGTGGCTGACAAATCTCAATAGAACGGGGGATGGGCCATCAACAGACGTGATGTTTCGCACCGATGACCCAAATGTTTGTGGAAGGGTCTTCTCGCACACAGATGCTTTGCGCGACCACTGCGTGGTTGAATTTCTCACTGGTGTCATTGCAAATAGATCAGTTAGGGAGCATGATGTAAAAACTTCTGCTACCCCAGTGTATCCCACAGTTCCCACTGGAGACTCAGTCTTATTGTGGTGGGCAGAACTGAGTGTGAAGAGTCACACGCTTCCTGCGCTTTTATTATCATTTTACACCGTACTGGTACTTTCCGCCATTCACCCAACGGTGCTACGTCTACTGCTACAATGTAGCAGTAAGTCGGCCTATCGCGTCTTTGGTTTTCTTTGGTGGCATCAACTGGTGATGCTGCTGCGGATAACCACGATGGGGGGCGTGGTGCTTGCTGCTCTTCTCATAGGTATTGTTGGCCAGCTCCTCCTCGTGCAACTTCGCTGTTGTTTGCTTCCTTGGTCTGACATGTGCAGCCTGCCCTGGGTCGCTGACGACCTTGTCTGCAGCGCTGAAACACGCTGGGGTCATTTGCCATTACTGTTTATCGCCTGGCTTGGTCCAGCACTTCTAGGGTCATGGGCGGGCGTGGTAGCTTATTGTCTTCTTCGTGGCTGGTTACGGCTAAGCTTGCGTGTGTGGACGGTGTTGCGCTCAATGTGCCTTTCCAGGTTTCATATTTTATCTGATTCTCGCTCAGCGGGTGTGTGGCGCCACTTGGTTCTGCTGCTGTACCCTATCACCGTGATTGTGTGTACCGCTTCGTTGGAGCTCTATCAACGCAACTTTGTGTGGCTTGGCTTTATATTATTCGTGATGCCACTTTGTGTTGCGATGGAGAATGGTAGCGGTGCCAATTCCTACCCTGTCATGTGCATAGACGCTTCCGTTCCCGTGGCTGTCTACGCCTGGTTATGTACCCTCCAGCTTCAGTCTTTTCTTGCTTGGCGAAACAAATGGGTATCAGGCATGACTGAAACCAAAAATATCGTGGATGAGGGAAGTCATATCCCTGAGATATTACTTCATCTTATTGTGTGTACGTACTTAGTATGGCCTATTCGGCACTTGTTTGATCTTCGAAAGAGTGGGGATTCTTTGCGTTTTCAATTCCCTCCCGTTATTGGATCAATTTTTTGCGTGGTTGTGCTAAGCGCCTTCGTCGTTATCTACATGTCGCTTCTTGCCATGAACAGAGTCTCCGTAGAGGCGTTCCGTGTTGTGTGGGTGCTTCTGTGGGGGTTTCCCGCCTTTCTCTTTGCAAGCACGCTGGGCTCCGACGATGCGGTCGCTGTGTCGGCTGCCCCTCCATCCGTCGCGACTAGCTGAGCATGTGATGGGAGGGGGGGGGTGGCGGTAACTCAGCTGATTACGCCAGATACAGTCCGCGGTAACGAGGCATTTTCGGCGGCGGCGCTCAAAGGTTCTTACCAACGCCAACTTTCTCCGCTTCCTCGTACCATGTCGCAGTACCTTTGTAGTCTATTGCCCTCTGCTGTTCACACGCACGCGGCGCTGGTTGGCGCCACTGGTGCATGCTGCTATTACTGCTACTACTGCCATTATTGTTTGTCCCCACCCCTCAGCCTTTTTTTTTTGTGCTGCGTGATGTGTGTCTTTTCTTTCTTTCTTCTGACCCCTTCCCTCTCCTTCTCGGCGCCGGGGTGTTGTTGTTGTTGTGGCCGTGCGGCACAGCAGAGGTTCATCCTTTCACGCTAACGCTAGCATTTCAAGCGATTGAAGCGAAACAGCAAGGTAGGGAAAATATATATATATATATTAATTTTTTTTTCTTTAAAGGGCAGTAGAAAGTTCCAAAGTAGCAGGAAGAGGAAAAGAAAAGAAAAACAGCTCGAAGTTAACGGGCAACAATAATAACAAAAAAAAAGGAAAGCGAAGCAAACAGCGGGGAGGGTGCGAGCACTTCGTTTTTCTCGGCCTCGCCTGGAACTTCTCATTTATTTGTCCTGTTGGACGTTTGATGTCGTCCCGACACCGCGAACTCGTCGCGAGATTTGGTACTTTTCTCGGAGAAAATGACTTCGTTTCCCGCATTTCGATGGACAGAGTGGGGGAGGTGAAGGCCCTCTTCAGCGCCAAGACAGTCCCGGTGGAGAGTGACGCGGAGGCCACCGCAGAGGCCGTCGCCATTGACGCGGTCCGCCGCCGTGATGCGCTGCGCCGGACATGCAATGCGGTGCTTCGGACCCGACAGCCCGACGAGCCTGTTGACGTCGGCACCATCATCTCTGACGAGGAGGAGCGATTGGCCTGGAAGTTTCTCATTGGAGCACTGACTGCAAAAAATGCTGAGATTCTTCGCGTCATTGAGGCGGAGCTGCTTTGCGTGGCGGTGGACTATCACTACGCCACCGCACGACCAGAGTTGTGTGACATGTTCATCCACCTGAGCGCAAGTGAAATGTTTTTCATTGACGGTGACTCGCTTTTCATGGCTGCCATTTCCCAGCAACACGTCGACTGGGATCTTATTCAGCCACTGCATGTGATGTACAACGCACAAAAGCTTCTATATGATATGCAAACCCGTGGAGCCCGTTTCCACGTTGTCTTCTTTGACAGTTTGCTGTGGATATGGGAGTCGGCGCCTGCAAAGCTCTTTATGCGTGAAAATTTGCGTCAAGGGCTGATGGCGCTTGCGGAAACCGACACGAGGTCCGACCTGTCCGTCTGCAACTTCCCCAGCTACCACTCAGCGGAGTTTGAGGCATACATCAGGCAGTGGGAACCGGAGTTTATCCTCATGTCCGATGGAGAGCAGCTGGGCTCACTCACGCCATTGCAAGCCTTTTTCGTGGATTCATCCACAGCCAATAATGCTGGTGCGACTAAACAGAAGGAGGGTGACTCTGATGACGAGGAGGGGAATCCGTACCGCCTCAAGCGGGCCTACAGGAGCATTGTGGAGGATGAGGCCGTCGGCGACAAGGCGGCTTTGTACTACCGCTGCATGCATCTTTGGGCGGCGACACGACGGCTGAAGGTGGGATACTCCTCCCGCATCATTTACAAGGAAAACGCCATGGTGGTCTTCACAGTCCGCGTCGACGGTGTGGGGTTTGAGCGTGCAGTGACTATTGAGCATGACGTGCTGGCATTGGCGCAGTCCATGGAGCACGAGGTACAACTGCCAATTATTTCATCCGCATCGCTGGAGTTGTTGGGGGAGGATCAGTTGTGCTACCGTGAACGGGTAGTGTATGCCGCACTGCATGCCTACTTGCAAGCCAGTGCTAGGAGCGAAGGGGAGAAGCAGCTCTGCCAGGCGCTTGCCCTCACTACCTACGTCGCAGGGTATTTGAATGACAAGTGCCGTGCACAGCGGGTGCGACCAAACGCCACTCTTGCAGGTTTCTTGCGGCAGCTGTCACCTTTCCTCCTCGCCGTCATGCGTCACGCTGGGTGTGAAAGGACGAATGGGCAGGCGTTTGACGTTGTTGATGGTCACCTGTTTTCTGCCATCTCTCAACAACTGCGTACGACGGCAGTCTGCAACTTGCTTGATGAGTACGGCGTGGACGACGTGGCGTCCATCTGGGGCGCCGTGGACAACGAAGAGGACACCTACATCACCAACGAACCGTTTTCGAAACTGCCAGTCATTGAACCCCCTGACGCGGACGAGCTGCAGTCGTATTCGCTCCTCAGTCATGAGTTGGTGGATCGACTTGCAAAGGGGTTTGGAGTTTCGAAGCATCGCGCGGAAACGCCGTACCCGCTCGGATACGGCGCCGCCAACGAACTCGCCGGGTGGGACATCACAACACCGTTTGACGCTCTCAATGATGTCACCGATGCCGAGGGGGAGGCGATTGCGAAGAGCACAATGACCGATAGAGAAGCTAAAAAGCAGCAGGAGTACCAGGAAAAGTTTGCGCGGAACGCCTTTAAGCAGGCAGAGTCAATGGGAATTGGCGGGTTTGCGGCGCAGGAACTGACCCAGGTGCTTTCTGACAATGAGAAGGATACCGAGGGCGGCGGCAACGGTGTTAATTCTAGAAGCGCGGGAGGCAAGAAGGCGACCAAGGAGCACGCGGGGCAGCGGAATAAGAAGGACCGCAAAAAGGAGGATGAGATTCGTGAGGACACGAATGTTGTGAATGCCACTTCCACTGTCAAGGAATGGTGCAAGCAGATGGATCGCCTTTTGCGCAGCGTCGATCCGAGTCATGGACGCACCACCAACAGGGATCGTGACGAGGCGATTAATACCATTGAGGCAGCCCTCAAACGCCTCTCGCAGGAACGCTTCGGCAAGTTTTTTGACCCTGGCTACACGCTCGGCGACTCCACGAACACGGCAATTCCTCTCAAACTTGAGATGTGGCGTTTGCTGGTGGCTGCCAGTCAGCTGCGGGAGGTGGAGTTTGCCTTTGCCATTGAGGATCCCGCGCTGAAGGATAGCAAGGCTGCCGCCAAGAAAATAGATTTGAAGTCTGTTTCTAAGCTGTTGCACGGTTTCCACGTCATTACTCAACTTGTGGAACGAGAGACTGGTAAGGGAGGCAAGTGGGGACAACTTGAGCCTCTGCGCAAGGCAAAGTCTGACATGACGACAGTGGAGGCGGGATCGTATTTGCGTTGGGTTTACCTCTCATTTGTAGAGTTACACATCCAGCTGAAGCTGAAGTGCCGTGTTGTGAAGCTTCTACTTGAAAACTGGCGCGCAGAACGAGAGCGCGCACGCCTGGACCAGGAATCCCCACGGATTGCGCTTGGCATTCCTCTTTTTATTTACTGCCATCATAAAGTGTTGGCCGTGATTCGCGATGAAGGACTGCGGATATCGCCGGAGGATATTGACACGGTGCGGTCTGCCCTCATGCACTTCGATCTTCCAGACTCCTACTACAATAAGCTTGACCAGGCCATTGCACGTTGGCAGAATATGACACTTGGAACCCTCGTACCAAGTCTTCTTCCACAGGAAAAACAGCTTTTTGAAACTCCTGAAATGATGCAACTAATTCACATGGGACACTTACTGGAGCGCCCCTTTGTGCGGAAGCACGACTACCGCGTTGCCTTCAACCCAGATAATTGGCAGCGGGACCTTTTAGACATCGTTGACGGTCGTGGCAGTGCGGTGGTTTGTGCCCCCACCTCTGCTGGCAAAACCTTTATTTCATACTATTGCATGTACAAGGCTCTGCGGAGTTCAAATAAGAAGGTTGTCGTCTACCTCGCCCCGGCACGTGCGCTTATTAATCAGGCGGTGGCTGATGTTTGCGCCCGTTACGGATCGAAGCAGTATAAGAATCCTGGTCGGCACATTTACGGCGTGCTTGGCGGCGCGGATTACCATCAATTCCATGACAGCTGTCAGGTGCTACTTACCGTGCCTGAAACCTTTGAGACGATGCTCTTGTCGCCCAAGTACACGGAGTGGGTGGAGCTGATCGACTACGTTATCCTGGATGAGATTCATTCGATGGAGAGCAACGGAAATGGTGACGTGTGGGAACGCATCTTGGCGCTGCTTCCCTGTCCTTTTGTTGCCCTCTCCGCCACGCTGGGTGAGACGCAGCAGCTGTGCAGTTGGCTCAATCGCGTCCAGGGACGGCTGAAGGAACAGACGGAGGAGGAGTCAGGGAAGATGCGCGACTTTGAGGTGCATGTGTTGCCAGGCGAGGGGAAAAGCATTCAGCGGTGGAATGATATCAAAAAGTACATTTACCTGCCGCCTCCTGGAGCCCGCTTGACGCACAAAAAGGTGAAGGCCCAGTACGACGATCGGTACATCCGTGATCTTCATCCCCTGTCCATCCTCACCACCGACCAGCTTCAACGTGGGTTTCCCCCAGACATTTCCCTCGTGCCCAGCGAAGTGGTATCCCTCTTTGAGAAGATGAATTCAACCTTCAATGAGGCTGTCTTGCCCAAATGGTCTTCATTGCAGCTCGTTCAAAACATGCGTGGACAACTATTCTTGCTGGAACCTGGCAAATATTTTGAGAAGGAGACATACATCACGCAGGAGCGTGCACGGCAGTACGAGGCTGAGGTAAAAAATGCCTTTGCTTACTGGGCCGTCTTGGGCCATGAGGGCTGCGAACCCCCAGACGGCCTTACAGTGGAGGAGTGGCATGAATTTAGTGCAACCATGAGCGCGGTGGCGGAGGGCATTCTGCGCGTCTTTGCCCAAAAGTTGAACGAGGATGAGGCTGTACTTGAGCGCTTTGCGGCTGAAGCCATGGAAAAGAAGAAGCAGTTGCTGCTCCAACAACACAATCAGAAGCAGGAGGAGGCGGAGTCAGACGGGCAGGCGGAGACGCAGGGGAAGGAGGATGAGGATACGCTGAAGCCGGTATCCTTTCCGGGATCACGACAGTTCATTCGGGAGCACATGTTAAATGTCTTGCGCGAACTCATTGCGCGCGAAATGGGTCCAATCATCGTCTTCAGCTTTGAATCGGAAGACTGTGGAGATATTGTCAAGTACGTCGTGGAGCAACTTGAGGAGGCCGAGCTACGTTACCGCAAGACACAGGAGTTCGCTGCATATAAGACCCGCATCGAGCGCGCCGCCGCCGCTCAGGAGGCACGACGGAAGCAGCGTGAATCAACGCTTAAACAGAAGCGATTGACAACTGGAGACGATGGTAAGGTGGAGCTGGCCGATCGCGGCGCCAGTGACGGCGAAGGCGAGGACGAAATGTATGTTGTCCCCGAGGTCCTACCAGAGTTCACCTTTCTCGGTGACAAGTGCACGGTGGAGTCTGTTGTGGTGAACTCACTCCTGGAAGATTGCGAAGATGAAGGAGAGGATCTTCTTCTTCGCGCGCTAAAACGTGGCATTGGCATGCACCATGCCGGTGTCAAGGGTAAACTCCGAGCACACGTAGAGCGTCTCTTCCGCGGGCGTCACTGCGGTGTTATTTTTTCTACAGAAACCTTGGCGTTGGGTATTCACAGCCCATGCCGCTCGGTTGTCTTGGCAGGCGATCATATTCTTCTTAACCCCACTCAGTTTCGTCAAATGATGGGTCGTGCAGGACGGCGTGGTCTTGATTATTTGGGGCACCTGGTGTTTCTGGGCATCACGATGCGTCGTATCAAGCGACTCATGACGAGCAGCATGACAGTCATCAAGGGAAATGTGCAGATGGATCCCATGTCCAATCTTCGTTTGCTTCAGCTCTACGACTTCAAACTGCTTCGTCAGCTGAGGGATGACGTAGGATGGAAGAAGCACGTTTTAAAACTGGCAGAGCGTTTATTTGTAAATCCACTCTTCTTTCAAGGGCGCCACTCTGTCGAAGGGGGCAATATGGAGAGCTTTACGGTGGAGATGTTGCAAATGTTGCTTGGATTCTTCCAACACGAAGGGTTACACTTTAGTGACCATGCTTCTTCGCTGGGCTCACTGCTACAGGATGTCATGTACGTTTTCCGGGAAGCCCATGTGGGTAACGAAGGTTTTGCCTTCATCCACATGCTCACCTCGGGTGCTTTTGACAAGGCACATTACCCACCTGTGTATGATAAAAAGCTCAACAGCGGCGTTGTGGACGAGCCGGTCGCCGAGCTACTCGCATACCTCTTTTCCACGCACCACACATGCGGTGTGCCGCTAGAGATGCATCGTTCCGTTCTCCTTGACCCCGCCGTGAGGACACTGTGGGAAGGCAAAACAGCTTCCACGCAACACCGAGCAGTGCTTTCCCCCATTGATGTGTGTTCCCCCACTGTATCCGCGCTCGATAACACGGACTTTTTTGTGTTGCTCTCTTCCTTCTACAACTACCTGGCATCGCAGTTGGCGCCTCAGAGCTGTGCTGACCTTCGCCTTCCCTGCATGAATAATACCGATGAGGAATGCCGCATTTTTGAAAATGTGCACTTTGATTGCCCGCTCAAAGAAAAACTTGAAGAATCTTCCGTTCCATACAACGCCCGGTCCCCGTTTGTTGCCATAAGTGGTTGTGGTGACTTTTTCTCCTCCGTCGACGATGTGACGTTTACCTTGCGCGATGGACTCTACTGTGACCGGCGTCTGCTGCCTATCCTCGATGTGGTGGATGGTTGGCGGCACGATGGGGCGCAAATTCTCATCAATGCGTGTCTCTTGGACTTCCTGCGCGCAACCGCACAGATTGACACGACGCGAAAAAACTACCGCTTTACCCTGCTGGAGGAGCTGAACGGCCTCTCTCAGTCTCTCTCCTACGCCGTGCTGAACAGGGCTGAGAAGGTTCTTTCCAACCTGGCGGGCTTGGTACGAAAACCTAGCCTGCCGACCGCGAAGGTATTGACAGCCATCATGCCTGACGAATCAGAGCAGGGCGTTTTCATGGCAGGTGCTCCCCGTCTGCTGGAGGTCGCAGAACGCCTGAATTCACTTCAGCCACAAATCCAGAAACGCCTCGCGGAGCAGTTGCGTGCGGCAAAATGGGCGAAGATGAAGAAATGACCGCGCGGCAAAAACACCACAATCATATGTGGGATGAAGGGAAATGCCGCAAAAAGAAAAAGAAAAATTGAAGGGATTCCATAATAGACGCGAAAAGGTACTGCAAGTGCGAACGAACGTTGCAGGAAAGTTTGATTGTATACCGCCGAAGATGGGGAGCGAAGTTCCTTTTTTTTTTGTTGTGTGTGTGTGTTGTTCTTGTTGTTGTCGTTGTCGTTGTCGTTTTCTTTTTCTTTTTTGGTGCTTCTTCATGTAAGTGTTTAAAAAAAAAAACGGAAATAATCCAAATCGTCGAGTCAATGCGTTATCCCCCCACGATTGCTGCACAGGCGCCGCGGGGGCAACCCGTTGGCCAACGAGAAGGTGGAAGGAAAGTTTTTATTATTTTCACTGCTGCTATTACTGTTATTGTAATAAGACTAATTTAAATTTAAAGGGAAAACAACATGCTACGGGTGCACGGGC